CTAGCTTTGATAGAATAAATTGTTCTAATTATTCTTTTTTGCAATTTAAAAACTTTTTTATTTTTGTCGGAATTTCCCCAAAAAATAATTCCGTAATTGAGAATAGGATAAACATAGCCATAGTATACCATCATAAGAGTAGAAATATCAACTGATCTAGAAAGAATGAGAGTTACAAAATGAATATGCTATCAGATGAAAATTTAGTTTGATATTTCTATCGTAGGCCAATCATTAGAAGTTTTCACTTGATATGACTTAAATAACTTATTTATTTAAGTTACTTATGCTTTTCAAGAAGACTCGTATAAGTTACACGTGCTGTGGGGTTAACTTGGGTACGGTACTTTGGTATTATCCGGAGGCCACCCTTACACAGCGCAGTTATGTTAGGTAGGGTTTTCTTACAATACCAGATGAGTCATAAATTACTTTTGCACGCCATATCCCCTCAAGTACTTAGCCAGGTCATTGACCGGAGCATGCATCACCTGTTACCACCTGTATCTGGGGTATTTGGCGGGCGAAAGTAAGTTATGACTCAATTGGTACTTATAGTTCAATTCATAACGAAACGGGGAAAGTTTTATAAACATATTTGATAATCCAACCTAACATGACGCAGCGTGCTGTATACCTAAGTTACTTGGCGGAGTATAGCGGCAGCGACGCATTTAACTCAATCCTCCCCGACATCGCTGCCTTTTTTTCTGGGAGACAGAACTCAAAGGCCGCTAATTGTAATCATGTCAAATTTGGACAGTCAGTCAATTAAAGCAGGTTTTTTCCTATTACAGTATGTAGTTATTTTTGGACTCTCCAGTAAAAAATCTCTCTAAAATAATTGGCCTCCGCATAATACCAAAGTACCCTAACATTTCGCTGTGGCTTAGCTTTTTAAGTTACCGGTACGGTAGTTAAAGATAATTACAAACAAGGCCTACTGTATGTAAATTGTATACACAAGAGTTGATAAGTAGGCTATATCTAGTAATTGTTTTTAAACAAATAAATTTACACTTGGACCTCAATTTGTAATTGTATCCTTTTTTTGTAAGTTTTGTTAGCCACTTAGGCTAACCTAAGTTAAGTTAAGTTCATTTTAAAGCTACAGCACACTGTTATAGATTGGTGGGCGATAACATTGACTAAGTTATATATACCTACTATATACAAGTTACCTGTAATGGTGATAATCTACTTAAGAATCCTCATAAGCTAACATGTAAAATCAATATTGAAATTCAATAACTTATAGGCCTACATAACTTAATGAGCTAGCCTATTGATTAAACTTACTATATTTTAAGTTTATTCGATAGCTTAGGCTATATTATGTAGTAAGTTTATTCCATTATGTAATACCGTAAGTAACTTAATAAGTTATTCCATCGATAATATCTTAGCTTTTCTCTTTGGAATTGTAGATTGATGTTTTAAAATTGATTGACTTAATGCTTTTTAATGTTTTTGCAGGTTCATACCCTGATCAACCGACTCTAGGCCTAGTCAGATTTCAAGTTTGCATACCTCTAACCAACATTCGTAAAATGCATTGGAGTGTGGTCACAGATCTCTCTATTACGTAATAAATAAATCCAGCGGTGAACAGGTAAGACATTTATTTGTTTAAATTGTTTATTTATAGTAGTAACATTTTCTATACAGCCTCTGATCCCATGTAGGGGTTGTCATATTAGTGGTGGTTCTAGATTAGAACGTTGTGAAGGGCTAACAGGGGTGATTAACATTAGGAGGGGGTTTCATGGGTTCCCCTTAAGAAAATCTGTTATTTTTATTTTTTTAACTGTGTTTACGTCTAGAACTGTGTTCCAAAACCTCTGTCACCTATTTATGACAAAATTTATGTTTAAACTTATATTTCCAGAGTCAGATTCTAATGGGGAGGGCTCTTGCTTCTATAGCCCTTCACCCCTTGGAACCGCCCACTGCATTATAGTATTTTTTATGTGGGAAAAATTGAGAATTAATTTAGTTGGAAGATAAGATATAACGGGACAGCAAAATTGGTAGAATAGGCATATAAGCTTTAACGAATTTCATGCAAATATATTTGATTAAGGTAATGTGATCATAAATAAAAGCATCTGCCACTATTTAAAATTAAAATTAGGCTTAGGCCTAATACAGATAAACCATTGCTGTTGCTAAAAGCCTAATACAGATAAACCATTGCTGTTGCTAAAATAAACCTGCATTAGTCTTGATTTTAAAATAGGTATGGGTTATATTTTTTGTAAACCATAAGCTGTCGTTGTTCATAAAAAAATGAAGTTGAAACTGTTAATTAGGTACTGAGAAAACCATGATTTGAGGTAGAAATTAATCTGGTCAAAAGGTACATTTTAATTAAATTATGTTAATTTATATTACTGCTATCTAACTCGTACTTAAATACAAGTGAATAAAATGTTGTGGATGTTCAATGAATTTTAGCATTAGTTTGTCTGCAAATGTTAATTTCTCGAGAACATGCTCCATTCAACCCAAATAGACACGTTAAAGTTTTAACATTGCATTCTAGCCGAGGAGAATTTATTGTTCATTCATCCTACACTAGCCTCCTTATTTAAATAACATGTAAAGTTTCTCTGTTCTAGAAAACTGAAGAAGGAACATCACAGGGGCTGTTACTTAGACCTTTCTACAGCATTGATGAATAATTGTCTTGGCAGCAACTAGAGTGACTACGTTACAAGTTAAATCATCTTTCTACTGCAAGGATTCCAATCAACAAAGATTTTTAATCGATAACATATTGTATTGATGCCTTATTCAATCTTAAAAATTGTAAAATAAAGTACTCTTGTATTCTTGTATTGCATTCTTGTGTTCTTGTCCTCTCTGTAGAGGTTATAGAGAAACTTAAAATGTAAATAAGTGAACACAAATGATAGAAAAACAATTTTATATAATAATAAAAACTAAATAATTAATTGAGAGCCCTCTCGATTGGGATAACCCAATTGATATTTTACTTCTTCTATCAAAACAAATACTAAAATACTCTCTTATTGTTTTGTGTTAACTATATATAATTTAAATTATTTACAAAAACATCTTAGTTATATATTTTATTTATCTTTTATATATATTCTATTATAAATTACCACACAGTCAAGTATAAAGTTGAAGCTCGATTATAAAGTGCACTAATCATAGTAGGCCTATCCAGTCAACAAAACTTAAATTGTTCACATCAAGTGGGAATATAATTATTTGAAATAAGTCTTTCCTTCAATAAAATCTTTAAAGAATATTTAATTGCCATGTAAGCTTGGTAGGTACTGAAAAGTGTAGTATACTCATCACCCACTTCAATCAATGTAAGATTTGTTTTCGTTTTAAAATTTGTATGTTTGCTGATATAGCGTTATAAGATACAGGGAAGAACACACTTCACCTTGATTACCTTCGTCAAAATAACAAGTTATTTTCACGTTTTTTTATTTTTCAACTTACTGGTAACCATTTAGCTATCTGCAATATAGGTTGATAATTTTTTTTTTTTTTTTTACATCCAATGAATTATTTACAAAGATGTTTGAAGTTTTTATAAGGTCAAACATGAGGAAACCCCATTTTTACCTCTACTCATAGTCCGATCATGCTGGTTCATGAACGGAACGCTACAACAAACGTTGTTTTACACGTTTGTTAAAAATTTCATCATAATTGGATTATTTTGACTCTTAATTTTGACTTTGAATTATATGTGTATAGGCATAGACTAAACTAAGCAGCACAAGTCTAAGGGAGTATGTTTTATCTACGGTATAGGCTATAATTTACAGTAGAACCTTGATAACAAGACTCTTATAAGGATTATAAAATAAGACTTGTTATCTAGGTTGACTTCTTATCGAGGTTTGCAATAACATATGATTAGGGGTAAAATAATTTCAAGGGGATTTGAAAATAACCCTTGTTATCAAGGTCGACTTGTTATCAAGGTCGACTTTGTTATCAAGGTTCTACTGTCATGAATTGAACAGATGGTGCTAAAGGCTTTTTACTTGAACTGCAACTGTTACAGCAATTACAAATTAAAATTCAAACCAACAATGGGGGTTGTATTATTTTGTTTAGAATTATTATAGGCCTACACCTTATTTTCATATTTTTAGGACCACAACAGACCAAATTTTATTAGAACCGGTTGTTTTTTTAAAAATCTGATTTTTTGTTATGTAATGGGAAAGTAATTGTAACTTTTACAGGTATGGGAGTTGTACCATTTTGTTCAAAATTTAAAACACTAGGTACAGGGGCATTTGCCCCCCCCCTGGATCCTGGGCTAGAGAAAAAAATATGCTGTACTAGCCAATATACAAATATTTTCTCCTGTCAAATCCTAAAAAAATCACAGCAGACAAAAATCTGTATATTCTTGTACATTAATTTGAAACAATAATTATTATTGTTTTATTGTCTTAGATACCGGACGGTAGCACATTTTGAGTTTACATAAAGTCAGCAGAAACTACTGTACGTACGTAGGCTAGGCATACAGTTAGTTTGTAGAGGAGGATTGAGTAGATGATTTGAATCCGATTGAAATTGAAAACTCAATACTCAGACTCAGATCCAACAACAAACTCGAATCCGATTTTCCGATATCGATAGTGTACACAATTCAATATCGATAGTGTAATTGCAGACTCTCGATAGATCGATTCAATCGTATTCTGTCCGAGTATCGTAGTGAACCCTAGGCTATCCAACACAACCGACAGCAACAGCTGATGAGTCCGAAATATACGTTGTTTTTGTTTACATGTTGCCAAGCGCGCTTGCTGCAGCCGATATTCTGATTTTCAAACACTGGATACGGATACCAACCATCAATCATTATAGTATTCTACAATTGATATATTATTTGACATTTACAATGTAACTTATGTTTCTCTATACTCAAGCGCTTATTACAGTGTTTATTAATTCGTGTTTGCATGAGCCTATTTTGAACTAATCATAATATGGCTTCTTTTCAAGGACTAGCACCCAGAATATTCTGGGGACTTACAACAAGTATCAAAGGAAACATAAACTATGTATCTGACTTGGATGTGCTTTACCCAGCAGGTGGAGTACTAGTGATTCACAACTATGTACAAATGACACAGTTCTACATCAAACTGCCCGAACCTCAGAAAGTGCTGAACATAATTTGTGTCAGCCCTAACAAGTAAGCTAACTTATAGCCTAGGCCTAGGCTGAAACATGATGGTAATGCTTCTTAACAGTTCCGGTACCTTTTTATAATAAAATGAAATCTTAAATCATTTAGATGTCTAGGCATATGTGATCTAAATTTAAGTTTACATTTCTTATCTGCTTGAATAGAGCCTTCACACAGTTCTAGCTGTAATTAACTGTACTTGTCAAATGTCATACACTGTACGAATGTTTTTTTGGCAACTATTTTTTATTCCTCCAATCTGAGTCATCTAAGTTAGATAATTCGACGATTAACTTGGTACCTAACCTATCAGTTGTTTGCAAGATATCAGACTTTTTTTAAGTTTCGATGCCAGTGTGTACAAGAAAGTACATTAAATGAGGGAGAGTGGTTCAAGGCTCACAACTTTTGTTTATTTTCCAGGGATTGAACTCATCTTCCGACCCCCACTCACAAATGTCTGAGACACTATAAAACACTAGGCTAGCAACACACCCAAATTGTAATAATATGCCTAAAGTACTTAATAATTATTGTGTTTTAGGCCGATATAAATTAATAGGCTTAAGTAGTATCTTAACAAATCATTCCACATAGCTACTATGGTCTAAAAGTTGTAAAAACGATTAGTAACTTTCTAAAGTGTTCATCAAATTACTTGGATACACCTTGATCTAACTACCGTGTTTTCCTTAGAAAAATAATAGCAATTGCTGAGGAGGGAGATAAACCATGTATTTCACTCTACGATGTAAAATCTATGAAGAGGAAAAAAGTGCTGGGACTTCCATACGAGTCTTCAGCAAAGGAGTTTGTTAGCATCGCTTTCACGTTTGACAGCCGATACTTGGTGGCTGTGGTGGGAGAGCCTGACTGGATGATGTTGTTCTACAACTGGGAGAAGGGCAAGGTTGAAAGTCAAACTCGAGCGAACAACCCACCAGCAAATACTGGCCCTGTTACACAGGTAAAGAAATAGAGGGACAGAGAAAAATCGCTGATAAACCAAACCTATAAACGCTGTTGCAGCAAACCTGCCAAAATAACTAATGTGTAACTAATCCAGTTGTATAATTAAAATTTTAATTATGAAAACAGGTTTAACAAGAAGCAAGTTAAATTTATCTTTCTGTCCACCTCGTGAACTCTCCTCTCCTTAACACTTTGACGTAGATGTCTTATAACGATCCCCTCGTTTTCACATAATCCATTCAATTGAATTCCGTTCCTTCAATCAAATAATAAATATCTCCCAGGTATTCCTATTGTTACTCTCAACCTTTAATACTATATATAGCATTAATGTATATATTGCCTTATGTAGGCTATCATTTGTGTAGTAGCCTATTATCCCTTAGTTTTTTGTTTCTGAGATAAAATATTTGATGTGACATAAAATATTTACGATTAAGTAGTCCATATTCTAATCCAGTCCAACAGTTACTTGAAAAGCCAGGTCCTGCCGCTGTCGTCACTTGAATTTCCAAAAATTGCACTTTTTCAAATTCTGTAGAACCGGTTTATCAAAGACTCACTCTTTACAGGGAAGCTTTACTTTTCCTCCCACCTTCACAACCTCTTAGCCTATACATTAGTCTCTAGTCCGGAACGTTTGACATAATACTTCAGGCTCAAGAAACTATCACTTGGATAAAATCCATTGGTGATTGGCAGGATTTGAACCCATGACTTAAGGGACTGGAGTTCTGGTCTCTACCACTAGACATCAACTCTCTCACTACAGTAAAGCTGTACTGACTAACAACTCTTCTAAACTTTATTCAGCGTCTCAATAGAAAATTTAAAGTGTTGTGAACGTTTATTGCAGGTGTGTCCTAACCCCACCGACGGCGCAGTGGTAGTAATTGTGGGTCCGGGCTTGTTTCGTCTGATGAGCGTCTCGGACACTGTGTGGCGGCAGTACGGCTTCCAGAAGGCGGACAAGATGCCTATAAAATGTGTCTGTTGGATCACACCTGACCGCGTGCTTGCCGGTACTGAAGATGATCGACTCATCGTCGTGGAATATGGAGACTTACGAGGCCGTTACAGAGCCAGTGTTATCTCAGAGTTTGATGTGCAAGTTCTAGAAGAGTAAGTTTTGTATATTTTTACTGTGGATTCTTTTTTCTATATTTAATTTGAATAGATAACTATGGTCATTGTTTTTTTAGGTTAATTTTTGTCAGTTTAATTGAACAGTTGTTTTGAGCAGAAAGTTAAGGATTACTTTTTTGGCATGAGTGAGTAAATCACTCACATCTGTGCGCGTAATTTGTGCTGATTTGATCCTACAATCTATTAACCTCTCAATTGAAATGTTCAACTATGTTTCTACAGTTACTCACAATAATTAAACACTTATGGGACCGGGAGGATATTGTATTACCCAAAATGTCAAACTGTGCACACTTTAGTACTAAAATTCTGCTATTACTCAAACTACATGAGACTTCTGTCACCCTCACAAGATAAAACAAATCCCAGGTGTAAACATAATGATTCATTCATCACAGTATCGGAGTGTGTCAGACTAAATATTGGATTACTGAGAGTTAACTGCAGTTCAAAGTTTAACTTTATCCATCTGACTATTTCCCCCAGTCAGCCAGGAGCATACTCGTACAACACTGAATGCAAGATCGATAGTGACAAAGAGGTGACTTGCGTCCTCGCCTTCTCTAATGGTTTCGCATACTCAATAGCAAACTACATCATCGTGTTTGAGAAGCAGACAAAATACAGGTACAGTACAGGAACAGTGTTGGGTTTTGTATTTATTTTAGAACACTGTATTTCTTGAGATTCAGCAAAATTTTATATAGTTAATGACAGCTTGTTCAAAATTGTTCTTTCATAATAACTGGAGTAGTTTTATAGGACAACCAGTGTACCTTTTAGACAGAAACTTATTGTATTGTTTGATTTTTAAAGCTATCATGGCAACCTGGGATCTATTGTTTGAAGTATTATAACTCTATGATGAAAGAAGCAATTTAACTAGGTTGTCACATTATGTGCTGTAAAGTATTCGGTTTCTGAATGTAATAGACTGCTTGATGGTGTGTGATCAGGAAATTTACTGTAAGACATGCTAGATTTTGTCTTGTTGTATTTTATACCTGGTATTATGCTTCCCACAGGTATAAAAGAAAGAACGTCTACCGCATCGGCGGGATTGAGATTCGTGGGGAAATGTCCGAGGAAATGAACACAATACGTAATCTCGCTGTGAATCCCGCTCAGGATAGGATCCTAGCAACTACGCAGCAAAGCCAGATATACTACGCAGCCTTACTGCCTGCAGACGCCCCTGCTTCCGCTGTCAGTTTGTTAATTACTGTAAAACTAGAGATTTTTAACTGGTATTTCATGCATCACAACGAGTAACTTAAATAATAAAGTGGAACCTTGATTAACCATCAACTTCTGTTGTCACCTCAAAAATAGGATTCAAATGAAATTTAAAATTAAACAACTAGCCTATATTTATATTTTATAAAAACTTAAATATTCAGTTACTTGTTCATAGAGTGTCACATTAAAATTACAGGTCACTTTGGCACTTTTTACAAACATAGGAAAGTGAATACAACTTTCTTTCACAGGTCGAGTTCGGGTAAAGTTCTATTTAATCGTTTAAGGTCTCCCTAGCCAGTGAGTCAATTTGTTCTTAAAGCAGTTTTAGTTAGTTTCTTTAGATATTCTAGAAGGAGGTTAAAATAGACAGCTTTCATAGGACGGGTTTCTTACAGTGGCATATATGACATAGATATCTGGAGAGAACCACCACAAATAAAAATGACTAAAAAAGTTCCTCACTCCTCTTAAATTCAAACCACTTTTAGTTTTAAGCTTTAGTCGAATTCCCTTTATTGGGAATAAGCTATTACCGTAAGTTTCATGGTAAGACCTATAGACCCCGAGAGTGGTTAACTTTTTTGTTTTGAAACCTCTAGAGGGTAAAAACGACTATATATTGTGTCTGTTAACACATCGAGTAAAAATAATCCAATATTTATGAAATTTGGTATAAACGTATAAACATGCATTTGATCAAATTTACAAACCAGCAGGATCGAACTATAGGAATGGGGTTGTATGGCAATTTACGGGGTAAAAATTGGTTTTTCCGATTTTGACCCTCAAAACATAAAATTGCAATTTATTTTTAAATTATTTTGTAGAGCTTAAAATAACAAATAATGCACTATATTGAAGAATTTTTGTATGTTTAATGGTCAAAGAGAAAACTAAAAAAAAAAACTGTAAATGTTTCATTCCTATATGTTACTCTTATAGAGAACAAGTAAACTGATGCCCTTTGCTTGCACAGACATGTATTTTGATCAAAATTTCCAAATTTATGTGATACTCAGCTATATTATCAATTCACTAAAAACACACAATGTATTACCCTCTCTCTAGCAGCAGATCTAAGTACTCGTTAAACCTAATGTTGTTTTAATAGGGAATAAATTAGACATATTTAAAGAAATATTCCAGCAAATATTCAATAAAATAAAAGGATATCCTCTTGGTCTACAGGATTGCTGCGGCAGGTTGTTTTTACTTATAAGACTTTGTTGTTCCCAGGCAGATGCTATGACGGTGATGGATTGCCTGGGTGAGTCGCTGCATCACGGGCCAATCGCTGGTCTCGCCACTTGCGCCTGGAAAACTATCTTCATGACTTGCGGAGAGATTGACCGCACGGTTCGAGTGTGGGATCTGACAACCGAGTCGCTCATTCTCACCAAACATTATCAAGAGGACATTTTCTCTGTCGCTTTACACCCAACCGGTACGTTCTTCAGATTACTAACTAAAGTGAGTAAAGTGTACGCTAACACCAAAATATCTTAAACTTGGTCAAATCTTGTGGACCGCATTCCTAACAAAACTGTAACAAATGGATAAGAGACTTCTGCAATTGAGTTGAACTGTAGCTTGTCGCAAAAATGGATTGACATATCCAAAACGTCGGCTATTATTTTTGCCATTTCAACAAAGCAGTTTTCTCCTGAAGATCAAGAGTCGATCGTAGAAGCATACTATTTAGTTTATCTTTAATCTTTGCTTTTGTCCAAATCACTGCAGGAATGGAATCTGCAGGAACAGATGAGTCAAACTAATAAAGTAATTCACCTTGGAGAACATCATGTAAAGCAATTTTTAAAGAATTAGTAGTAATGACTTTTCCGAGCTTAACAATTTTAAAAACACTTTAGATGGTAGAAGGAAATTTTGAAAAATTATGCAGTGAAAACGTTGAGCTTAGGATACTAGGTTTAAATTTAAAACTTATTTTCAATATCCGCGGTATCGTCTTTTATTAGTAGGAAAAATACCAACATACATGGGCAAAAAAGCTGTTTAATAAACTGTCACAAGAATTCAAGAAACAAAAAAAACAGTCCAATCACTTCAAAAGCAGCCTCGCTAATTTTCTTTTAAGAAAAACCTATTATAGGTGAGTGTTCTCAACTGATCAGGATGAGTAATAATGATTTTTTTTTACTGATACATATTTAGTTTAAACCACTTTTATTTATTATAGTTTTAGTTTTAGTTTATTTTAGTCTTTTATAACTCCTTAGTCTTAAGGTATTTGTAATTTGACAACTTCACCTGTTTTATAGCTTTGCTATATTATGTAAACGTTATGTGACAATACAGATTTATTAATTTACTAGCTGTACCCGCGTGCTTTGCCCCGTTTAACTTCATAAGTATTCACATGGCTCAATCACGTCCTGGTTGAAGTTTGTTCGCTACGCTCACTCACCTTTAGGTAGGAGCTCGTTCGCTACACTAACTCGCCTCCAGGTTGAAGTTTGTTCGCTACGCTCACTCACCTTTTGGTTGCAAATTAGCTGTTGTCATAAATTTAACGGAAAGTAAATAAAAGAAACGCCTTATAACACTTAAAACATATATTTACGCTTAAACTGTTACTCACAAGACGGTAAATATACAAAAAAGATGGTAAGTGGTGATCGATTTTGATTGGACACTCCAATCATCATCAGACCCAATAGGCGAATGACAAGAATCTTAATGGCGTCCCTACTTATACCCTATTGGCTACCGGAAGCACCGGCCAATACATTTTTATAAGTACAACTGCATAAATTAAAAAAAAAAATAATAGTGCTGCACCCTGTTGGTAATCCTTGTAACTTTAATGCTATTGAACACCATAGAACAGAACCAACTTGTTTAATTGAAAGAGCTGTTACAATTAATTAATTACTTTTAAAAATGAAAAATCATAAGGTTAACATGGGAAACTCCAGAGCCACTGGGGCGGAGCCCGAAAGCCCGATCAGAATAAAAACTACTTAGTTTTCCTATTTAATGCCCAAAGAAGAACAGAATTTCAGCCTCCTAGGTAAATGGGAAGTGGGAGAATTAGTGATGAGTGAGTCAGTGAGTCAGTGAGGGCTTTGCCTTTTATATATGCCTTTAGATTTATTAATAGTCACTCATACTGCCAAGCAACATCAATTGGACATCTTATCTACAGATTTTATCACAATTAATTGGTCTTTTCTTTAGTGTTCAAAAATGTTTTTATGCTAAATGCAAAATATATTTAGGTTATGCCTACTCCATGGCTTTAAAAAAGTGTTAGAATGAAAAATTTAAAAAATAAAAGCTAAACCCTTGGAATCAAGTTGTTTGGAATTGTAAAATCATCCAGAATTATAATAGCACAAATTATGTTTACGAAATCTTCATTTTCCTAGTCGCTAAATTTGTTTAAAGATGCACCTTCAGGTAATATTGAATAGATCTAAAAACATTGAATAAATGACTGATAGTGATAATGTTTATTGATGTTTTGATATTAGCTTTTATATTTACTGTCCTGTACCATAATTACTGTTTGCCTGAAACTTATATAGTGGGTAATCTTAATAAGCTTTAAAAACATTCTCTATTTCACTAATATAGTGGTCAGTATTTACAAATGTCACCTGCTTTTGACAGTTCAAAACTGGACCCATCTCTTCTTGATCATTGAGCTAGCATTGTTAAAGAGTAAGATAGTTAAACTATTTCATGAAATGAATTAAAGGGACTCGGTGTAGCAGTGTGGTTATTGAGCAATTCAAAAGGTAGTAGTTTCAGCTTTGTGAAAAATTGATTCTGGGTCCAGCTTTTCTTGATATTTAAACTTTTTTTAAATTGTTCTGGTTAAAAACAGCAGATTTTAGTCAGCAACAAAACCACAGTGATCATCTCACTCCATTCTACACTCATTCATATGCAACTTAAAATACAGTGCACAAAGATGGTCACTAAGTGATTGTCTCATGTTTCAGGGCTTTACGCAACCGTGGGATTCTCAGATAAGTTGAGGTTTATGTTGGTTCTTCTTGACGACCTCAACACAATCAGAGAGTTCTCTATCCGCACTTGTCGTCAGGTCGCGTTCAGCAACACTGGCAACATGTTTGCAGCCGTCAACGCTTCTACCATTCAGGTGTTTTGTGTCATCACCTTCCAGTGTGTCTACTATCTCAAGGGGCATAATGAATACGTAAGTTAAATTTACTATACTATTAAAACACATACACTCTACCTTAATAATTTACAAGTCGAAAAAAAACATTTAAAAGGTGTTGAAATTATCCGATTTTAACTTAAGAATAATTAGGAAAGTTAGGAAATACAAAACCCCCATTTGTTTCTGTTCATCAAGACTGCAATTAGACATTGAAAATCTTATATCAAGTTAGATAGCCTTAAGTGCTCTATAAAAAAAGTTTACTTAAAGTATTCAAATATTAAATGATGTTTTGATTTTCTGATGCAGGTTCGCTCGTTAGTTTGGACTCCGGATGACAGGAGTTTGTTCTCTTGTGGGAGTGACGGCGCAATTTACGAATGGAACACTTACGACGGGACCAGAGCTAACGATGTTATTACAAAGCAGTGTGACTACATGGGTCTGGCGACTTCGCAAGATGGTAAACTAGTCTACGGTGTTGGATCTGACGGGCTTTTGAAAGAAATTAACAATGCAGAGGTATACATCAGTTGTAATTTTCTATTCATTATTATGTTAAGGAATTGATTAGCTGGGTGGATATAGTGCTTGCCTCATATTCAGAAGGTTGCTGGTACGATCCTGAGATAATCCAGAATCTTTTTTCAATGGTTCACAACTGGACCCAGCAGTCCTTGATGAATGGATTTAATAAATGGCTCTGGCTAATGAAACACTGACCTAAGCCAGTAATAAAGCTGTCATATTTATTCATATTTCACTTATCTTAATTGTAAAATTTTCACTGTGGCATGTCAGAGTTGTAAAAACCTAAACTTACGTAAAAAGAGCTAAGCACTTGCTACTGAATCTATTCAGCATGAGTCATTTTATGTTCCTTAAGCAATCGTACAAAAATAGGTTCATAAATGGCCAAAAGTTTTCAGTTTCAAGTTTCAATCAGAGTTTTCTTTTTTTACCCTACAAAGTATTTTTTTTCCTTCTGATTCCCTTTAAAATAAATATAAAAATATTTCGCTCTAACTAAATTCAAAACAACGATCATTCCAAGTTTCAAATTGGAACTACATGAAAATGGTTTAAACTTTTAAATGATGTTATTTACAACAATTACCAGACAGTTAATTTCTTTCTTTTCACACTTTATCAACAAAATCTGTTATGAAATGAGTTTAAGTAAAGGAGAACAATTAATTTACAAAACCAGTGAAAATCATATCTTTGAGTTACTTTTTGAAAGCAAAAGTTAGTTCTGTTTTATTTTTTTATATTTAGAGAATCAATATTCATGATGTGCATAATAAGATGATGTCTGTTTTCTTGACGCTATGGTCATAGCAAGAACTTAATATTTCATCACCGCTTTCAGATATTACGGGAGGAGAGTCTTCACCACTCGTGTTTGTATGCAGTACAGCTCTCTCGCTCTGACCAGATGATGTTTTGTACGGGAACTAAAGGAGCGATTCTGTCCGTTCGCTACCCTCTACTCAGACCACCGGAGTTTGCTGAGTTTTTCTTGCATAACAACCCTGTGACAATGGTCAGTTCATAGTTTTGTTCTTTAATATGTCATCAGGAGGTTGGTGAGGCTTTGGCTTTGTCCCTCATTAGTGTGACAGGCTACAAACCCAAGGCAGCCATTTTGTGGGTTTGCATTCCAATCCTCCACTAATATTTATCTATAGTCTGTCATGAATATATTTTACCAATACAGTTCATTTATGTAGGCAGCCTACTTACCAGATCACCCTTGCATTGATACAATCTATGTACACGCCAAAGGCCTATGTGTAGTCATCAATAGACTCGATGAAACCTTGTTCTTACTTCATTGTTTTTGTTTACAACCAGCAATAATAACAAATTTTGCATTTTCACTAAGCTTGAGTTGCATGTAAAAACGTATAACTGTAATAACATGTTTTTATTTGAGTCAAATTTGTGAATTATTCTAAATTCTTAGTAACATTTACTAACAATAATTATTAATTTTTCTTAGTGTGAATTAAATAGAAGGGCCCTTAAAAACAAACATCAGAAACCACTTAAAAGACAGACTAAAAGATATGAGCTAAATATTCACAAAACCAAATATTCTTCAGTCATGGCAATATGTTTGTTTGTTTAGCTAATTATAACTATCATAGCATTTTAAAATCTAAAACCTATTTCATTTTCACTGTATGTTTTATTTTGTGAATGGACAACAAAAAATGACCAGGAAAACAGCCAAGGAAAAATTTAAAGATTTAACTGAGAAAAATTTGCAAATCAATATTAAAATTGTTTTATATTGATCTGGGAACATCTAACTCATTTACATCGGTGTAAGTTACTGTAGTAACTTATCAGAAGGGTGTTCCGTTAGAAAAATTCCTGTATTAAATAACATCTTTAAATGGCAATCTTCCCTCAAACGCTTACCAGGAAAACTCCCAATTTCCCTAGTTAAAAATATTTTTAGAGTTTTGCATAACCCAAAAAATATTTCCCCAACCTAAAGAATCTAATAATTTTTCACACTAGGGAATTCAGTCACAAAATTAAAAACTGTTTCGCTTTATTTCAATTGCAGAACAAACAAGTACTTTATACTATAAAATTATTGATTTAATCTTTCAGATAAAACTGAGCTATGATGATCTCAATTTGATATCATGCTCAAACGACGGGACGATGTGTATTTGGAAACTGATCAACACAGACCGCAAATGCATCAAGATGGATCCTGATTTCTCCTATTCTAAAGAGGTAGTTGAACATGTTAAAATTGAATACATTTTTATTGGACCGCCTTTTGTGTGACAGTTTTATTATTAACAGTAGCAGTTAAAGCGTGAATACACATTTAATGTAAATGTATTCAATCTGTAAAAAGGTTCTGTAAAAGTAAAATTTGCTAGTAAAGAGGATGCTGTTACTAAAACTATCAACGTCGGATATTTTAGTCAAATCTAAAACATAGATTTAAAAGAAAAGACATCTTTCAACTGTTTTAACACAACTTGATCAACTAAGATTTGTGAACTTTAACAATTTAGTAAATTTGTACTATATGAGTAAAAGACGTTACATTGTCTAATGGTTGGACCATTCATACCAACCATCATCAAGCTCGATTGGAGTATAACCGAATCAAAATGCTGTCCTTGTTTTGATACTATTGGTCACTTGAAGTTTTGGAAACAGATGACAGTTTAATAGGTCCCACAGTAGAGTAAAATTTGACTAGTTAGTTAGTAATATATTCATATCTTCAAATGTTTCTTCCTAATTGTACAATTTTAACCAAACATGCTTATTGATAAGTTATATGGTGCAATAAAGGTGGAAATAACATTTTGTCGTTTGCTAATTACAATTTATTTATTCTAGATTTTAATCAACAAAGAAGATTTGGGTGAAAAAATTCAGCAAATAAAGTATTTAGAAAATCTGGTGAAATCACTTGAAACGGATCATGCGTACCAGATAAAAGAGATGGAGACTGAGCATTCAAACAAAGTACAAGAGCTCCACAACGGCTACTGTGCAGCGATCCAGAACCTCAAGGATAAAAATCAGGTGACTTAGTCTCTATCAAGACATAATGTGGTAAGGATTCCATGGTAGACAGGACAATTAGTAGTTTCAAATGTGTACAGGCTCCCTAGGACAAACCAACCATGGCCATACAATAATAAAACTGATTCTTTAGTGCTGCCACAAACCGGGGACGGCTATTAAGGTTTTAGGTTTACCTACATTTTTCCCGTATGAGGATGATACACACGTATAGATATTTCAGTAATATTAGTAGTACTCATAGATCTCTAACTTAAACTTTCTTTCCTAGGAAAAATAACTGAGTTAATTGAAATGCCCTTTCATTTAACGTATTTGTGGTGATTTGTCATTGGCCATCAATAAATTAATGATGATGTCTAACAAATAGTCAACGTTAAATAGTTACAAGACCAGGGTTTTGGCCACTCCCTTAAGCCTACAAAAAACCGTAAGAATATCAGTGGCTTGAAAACACACATATTCAAAAAAGAAAATTATATCTCTCTACCACACACAATTTGACTATTTTTTGTTACAATAAGAGAAATATCTTTGTTCCTTGACTTGGACTTATTAGTTATTGGCATTCAAAACAAATATCGAAGTATGGGGTTGGGCACCACTTGACCAAAAAGTTATGAAGCGGAGGTTAGTAGTTCACACAGGATTAAAAGTATCAAGTTTTTGTTTTGTCATCTAGTAGTCAGCAACGAGATTGATGAAAACTGAATACAAGAATGTAAGTGCACTGTCTTCTTTGATAGTTTTATAAGATTTATACTTTGTACACAGGAATTGGTAGCAGAGCACACTGTGGAAATCAACAAAATGAACAGCAACAGTCTTGAAATGAAAAGAGAACATATGGCAGCCATGGAAAAACTTGAATCCAACTACAATGCAAAACTGATCGTGGAATATGACAAATACGCAGCGTTGGATGAAAAGGATAAAATACTTCGAGATAAATTGCTTAGGTGAGTTATTAACCTTAATTTAAACAGTGTTAATGCTATCCATGATGCTATTGATCCCTTATTAGTGACTTAACGGTGCAGAAAATAAAATAAAATAAATGTGAGTATGAGTAAACAGGATTCAAATACTGGATAAAAAGGACTATCTGATTGAGGTATAGGAAACATGTTTATTTTTCTTAACAAAATAGACAAGGAACATAAATTTTAAAATTTTTTTAGTTATATTATGCTCAGTATTCTTCTAACTTTTTAAAATCTAAATTTTCTAAATTCTAAATTTTTAACAGGCAGATTGATGAGCTAACCAAATCAAAGGAGCTAGCATTAAAGAGAATGGCTGAAGAATACGAAGAGAAACTGAAGGCAAAAGATGCCATCATCCAAGAGGTAAATTCTTCCATCCCAAATCTGTATAGTAACATAAGAAGCTCTAGAATAGAGTGCAGCTTTCTCTTATAAGTTCAGCAGCCCGATTATCAGTGATGTTTTTGAAACAATGTTTCAAAACAGAAGACTAAATATACTTTTTTACTAGGAATTTTAATGCGTACACAATTAAATTTACAGCTGACAGTTAACTGTTTTTTCAGCTTAATGACACACAAAATCTACACAGTGTTGAACACGAGGAAATCAAACGACAAATAGAGGAAGACGCTGACCAAGAAATCATCGATCTGAGGACAAAGTTTGAACAAGCTTTGCGAACGGAGAAAGACACGAATGTACGACTTCGTGGAGAAACTGGAGTCATGAAAAAGAAATTCCTTGCGTAAGTAATGGGGTAAAAATAATTTTCACAACCTTTTGGGATCTAGAATCTAATTTTGTCCTCAGGTAAAAATGTACCTGAAACATAACACAATTAATATATACAAACTACAAACCAAGCCAAAAATGTAAAATCACAATCAAATAACCACACGGAGAGCTGTTAAGTGTATAGCAGTAAATAAAATGGACACGTCTGCACAACATATTGGTCCAAATTAGTAGGCTATGATCTTTTCATTGTTAGTTTGGGTTGTCTACAAATCTGGTAATAAGATAAGGCGAGTTTATTTACAAAGTAGGTATTCTACATTCATATTGACAGTATCAGTAGAAATAGACTAGTTTGCATTTATATGATTCTGGAATCCTGTTTTCTCTCACCAGGGCTCAAAAAGAAATTGATGAGTTAAAACATCAAGTTTCGGCCCTTCATAATGAACATCAGCAATTAAAGGTCGAAATAGTCAATAGGGAACAAGACATCACCAACTTGAAGAAGGAGATATTCGAGAGGGATTACACGATTACAGAAAATGAACGACGATTTTCAGAGGTTAAGAATAAGAATCAAGAGTTGGATAAGTTCAAGTTTGTACTCAATCACAAAATAAAAGAACTTAGAATGCAAATACATCCTAAGGAGGAAGAGATAAAACAAAAGAAGGAACAAATTCAAGATGTGAGTTTTGTTAAAAATATGTATGCTTCTCTCAGTTTTATTTTTGTTTGTGTTTAGATTAGGTTTTTGTTTCAAATTTAATCCTTTTAATCCATAAAAACTTTCTAGATGTGGACCTCAGTGTTTTTAGACATTCCATGAATTAAGATTGCACTGACTTACTACTTTTAATTATTTTTTTCATAACCACTCAAGCAAATTGTCTGTTAGTATTTTTTTTCTTCTGGAAAAACCAACAACTTTATCAAGTTACAAAAACCACTGTTTACTGTGAATTTGGTCTTTTCCACCTTTCAAAGTAAAAGTAAGTATCTTAGGCAAGGGAAACTGTTTAAAAATATGTTTGCAGCCTCTCTTAACCTTTCTGTCTACATGGGTCTTAAAATAATGACTGAGCAAAAGAACATATCAAGCAAATTATTGGGAGTGTCATTTCGGTACAAGAAAGAACTGTAGTGAAGAATTTTAAAGTTACAATGTCAAAACACCCAAAATGTAAATCAACATCGCCGCCTTTGTTTCACAGTCTGTCTAGTGTCTACTACCAACTAAGCCACCAAACACCAGCACTTAATTCCTAAAACGCTTTGCAAACTTTTAACTAAGTATACAAGTATTTCAACAAATCTAACGTTTCACAGATGGAGGAAGAAATCAACGAGTACCAGCAGAAGGAGAGCAGCCTCCAACTGGAGATAGCTGAACTGAAGGAGGGCGTGGGACTGAGAGAAAAGGATTACCAGAAAGAGAAAAAACTGAACAAAGAAACACAAGCGATCCTTCGAAGGATAAGATACGAGCTGCATGAGTTATCAGCTCTAGTGCAAGAACCCCTGGAGCTAAAGAGAGCAGTGATAGTGAGTAGATCGAAGAATTTGTAGCTCATAACATCACAGTAGTATTTAGACATTTGAATGTAATAGTTGTTAATTCAAACCCTGAAGTTTCTTTAAAGTTTGAAATCAAAGATGAACAAAATTCTCCTTGGTTTATTGTTTGGTTTGGAAAAAATTCCATCGAGGATATTTAAAAAATGCTTTGACATGTATCAATTATATCACCTACCAAATTTAGTTAGCTAAGGCGATTAGTGTACACCCTTTAATTCAAAGGCTTTTTGTTTGGTAAGAAGAATTGATTTTGGTTCAGTCGTTAAGGATGGATTCTAACACAATTAGGATTAAATTTCAAAATGTATTACCCTTTGAATTTTATGTTAAAAATTGGTGATCTACTGAAAAAGGCAGTAGCGTTTAGATCGATCAAAACTGGACTCGTCAGACCTTTACTTCAATTTCACATGCTTGTTCTTATATCCATATTGACAGTGACACAATTTCCAGTCATTACAATCTAAACTTTAAAATTAAATAATAGTTCACTTACCTCAACGTAAACCATTAAGTAAACTTGCCAGCTACAACGATTTCAAAACTTTGTTAATGATTACACCTACACCACCAAAAAAGAATATTCTTCAGAATCCTTAGAGGATGGTGAAACAAATTAAATAGATTTACCATTATTCTTGTGTCCATTAAAAATAACCCTTTCAACATATGACTTCTTTGATTCATTTTATGTGGCATCATTTCAGAATCTGTACCACAAATATAGCGAAGGAAAACAGTTTGAGCACAGCAGACAGGAAGATCGAGATGCTCAAAACGAGTTCTTACGACAGCGTGACCATCTCGAGCGCACAGTTGATGGCCTCAAGAGAAAACTTTACTACAAGGAATCAACCAAGAAGAACACCACTGAGAAAATAATGAAGGTGGGACATTTTAGAGGAACATTACTTTACTTGAATTTTAAAACATTTTCCTTGATCAATGATTTTAGCATCTTCAAAAACTCTTGTATGTTGTTTTTTCACCAAAATTGTATTAAATCTGAAAAGTTATTGTGGTTCAATCACAAATTAAAATTCCTGAAGTCAGAGTACAGTAAACTTACTCTAATTTGGATATGTTTGTTTTGGCTGCTATCTACATTTGAGTCACACACCACACATGCAACTAAGTTTATCCATTTACAACCTGTTTGTCTAAATCTTTTCATTAGTGTAAAAATATGTACTGTATTGCTTTATTCCTTCATTGTTTGAAATAGTTTACTGAGTTATTAGTGATTTTAAAAGCTACCCATTCATTTTTGTAATAACCTCTCTTGGTACAGACTTTTTTAGTTTGTACAATAATAGTCAGTTCGTGAGATTTACACATCTTACGTCGTCAATGCCACTGTGGACTCGAGTGACTATTATTATTGATGAATCATTAGTGTTATTTTCAGGCCTCTTGCCTTAGGACATTATTAGACTTGTAATTACAAAATACAATTATTGTTAAGCCTATGTGAATTTACAACAATGTATTCTTATAGTTTGATATGGATACAAGAGTACAAGAGGCTGGAAAATGAAACTAATGTTTCAAAACTAGCCACCCGAGACTAAATTAGGATAGGTGTATTGTACGTAAACCTATTTATACTGTTATCAATCAACCCTGAAGGCAATGATGGATAAATAAATATTCCATAACAATGAATTAACACTTTCACAGGATAACGTCATACTTATTGAAGAGGTGAATGCTTTGCGGAAGGAGTTAGTAGATTGTAAACGACACGTCAAAGATCTCGAGAGTATTGTGGGAATGCACAAGTTCATCACTCCACGAGAAGCACAGAAGAAACTTCAGATGGCTGTTCAAACCAAGGAGAGCATCCACGAAGAGTACAAGTACAAGATAAAGGTGACATGTTTTCTTAGCTTGTTATACTGTTGAAAATTCCCACTCTCAATTATTGAATTATTACCTACCTAACGTTGAATGCTACGGACATGCTTGATGAGAGTTAAATTGGTTTCTTTACTTTGACCATTTATTAGGTTTTGAGGGGTTGGTTGCATCCATGGTTTGAGATGGGTGTTGTGTTTGATTTAATATCTTGTTATCTAAAACAAATTGAGTTTAAAATTATCTAAATCTAAATTTACAATGTTGTCTGGTTTTTAAATAGTTTCAGACCTTTGAACAATTATCGGTGATACAAAGCTAAACAACAGGATCCCTAGTAGGGGGTTCTGTATGTCTGTTATATTATCTCAACCCAGAAAAATAAGAGGGCATGATCAATGGCTACATGGTGTTGTGTCTTAGGTATGTAAGACCGTTTCTTAGACTTGTTTTACAACAGTGCAAGTCAAAACGGTGTAGAACGTAGGCACATTTTGCCTTATGTAATAAATCAATCCTTTGAAAACTATGGATGACTCGGTGATTTAATTGTGAATATTTTTGACTATAGAGACAACACCTTAGACCAATGATTAGATCTAACACTTTACTGCACCAATCAGCTCCCTTTTGAAGTCAAATGTGTTTGATTTAAAAATGTATACTATTTATTTTCACTGCTCTACAAAGTAACCAGGGTGTTGCTGGTCTCTTGTAGAAAAAGTTGTTAACAAAAAGGGATTGGTGAAATCAGCTGGAGCTCAGTAAATTTACAACACACTTTTTCACAAAGGCAAGTGTTCATGTAAAGGCAGGTAGTGTACAAAGTTTACATAAAAGATAAAAACTTTTTACATCCAACTTTTATAGTAAATACCGGGGGGTTTGAAAACAATTATTTTTAAACTCGATATAACAGTGTATATTAAACTGTGTTTTGATTGCATGTACAGGTTGTGTCTTACTTACACTGACTGTAGTATATTTGTTGCTGGTAGTGTGGCAAAAGGATTTGCAGGCAACTAACCTGGGGACCTGTTTACAGTACACATATGAAATCCGGAATATTTATGTTCGTTGTTCGCAACGTAAACACCTATTTTCCTGCCTTAAAATACTATTAAGTCTAATACTACATGTTTGTTTCTTTTCCATTCCAATATTGGTGGTCAAACCCTGGTTTTTAACAGGAACTGGAAGATCAAATTGGCGTTCAACAGAATGAAATGGCCCAGCTGATAGTGAAAAATAAACAGCTTGAAGAAAAGTTGAAGAAAAAGGTACAGCTGGAAGAAAAACCCAGTTTGAGACCGTCAGAAGCCTAAATATTAAGCTGAATGTTTTTATTTTAGTTAATATTATGTTAATTTTGTGTGTTGTTTTATTGTATAATACACGACTATTTATATCATTGGAAAATTTATCTTTTGCATATGAGTAACTCCGTTACAGAGAGTGATAAGTTTGGATGAGGTTTAGAGAACATTCTAAATATTAGATACACGCGATATGTAAGGGAGTGACACAGTCCTTATCAAGACTTCTTAGTTGTTGTAACTATTTATCATAATTACTTTAAGCACTAATGAAGGTTTGCCATATCAGTATATATACTGTATATTTTTTGTTCATCATTATGTTGTTGTTGTTGTATGTTGTTATTGTACATTATATTTTCATCGTTTTTCTAGGGATGGACGAGATTTGATTTTTAGTTCGAGACGAGACGTGACGAGATTTTTTATTTCTCATAAAATTTCGAGACGAGATCGAGACGGGATTTCCCTTCTCATACACAACGGGAAATGCACGTTAAAAATTTTTACCTGATTTTGTAATATTGTTAGATGACTGTTTAAATACAAAAATAATGATAATAGGCAAGAATATTTACAATCTTTTATTAAAAAACATCAGCATAACATTTTTTTATTAATCACGCCTAACTTATTAAAAATGCCTACGATTAGGAAACATAGTGATATCAGTTAGGATAGAGTTCAACTTATCCTAAAATAAAATAAATCATAAAATAAAAGCAATATTAATTTTTATAAAATAGTTACTTGTTTTGACTTTTTATAGTAATAAAACATTCCTCACACTGCTTACACTTTACAAAACTTCTCAAATGTTATTAAAGTAATATTTACATTTAAAGAATTAATTAAATAAGAACGCCTTCACAAAGGAAACGCAACTAGAACACGCTCCTGTATTGCGGGTATTGCATTGACTTTCTGCAGGCGTTTTTAATTTTTTTTATTTTTTTATTCCCGTCTCGGTAAAAATCTCGGCCAAAAAGAAATCTTGTCTCGTGTAACGAGATTTAAAATTTCCCGAAAATTTCCCGAAATTTCGAGTCTTGACTATCCCTAGTTTTTACCTTTTTAATGTTTACTTCTTACAGTTATGGTTATTTTAAAATTGTGTTTAATGTTGCTGTTGAATTTTGATTCATTTATCTCATTAGTTGTTATTGATTAAATATTTTCAATCATCCATTTGTATTGTTTAATATGTAAGAAACATCTTGGTAATTATTCTCGTTTTATACAATTTTCATAAACAAATGTAGTTTTTTCATGTACACATACTTAAATTTTTGAACCTCAAGGACCACTTATTGACTTGAAATTGCTTATTTTTACTACGTTTTCCTCATTTTATGTACTTGAGAATCCGTGTTATTATTAGAAAAGATGTCTGTGGGGTTGGCAAAGCACAAAAATGGCACCAAGATTTCCCTCATCATTGCTGCTTGGATTGGGCCACCAACTCGCCAAAAACCTTATAACAGGATTTTTTATCTTGGTCTAAAGAGAAAAAAATAAATTTGTATGGACTAAATAAATAGGTCAACAACGATTATATATTTTAAACAGCTTGTATTACTAAAAAAAGGGGAACATTTCTCCACCACTCATTTTACAGCAATAATTTATTATTTAGCCTAAATCAACAAAGAAATAGGAAAATATTGCATAAAAACCCTACCTAATGTTTGAAATTTTAAGATAATTTATGTGCATTGTATACTGATCATTTTTCTTTGTTCACACAAAAAACGATTTGGAGTTCACAACCTTATTTGACAAAAGTTTTCAGTCATAAACTAACTTAAAATGCATTTTAAAGATATGGGAATGTTATTTGAACACAAGTGGTAAAACTTTGTAATGACTTGATCAGTTGTCTTAACCTTACCACAACCAAAAAAATGTCATATCCATTAAGCAACTTTAAATTATGTTTACAAACTTTAATATACTCCAGAAACATTAATACCGTTTTCTAGAGCTGCATAGGCCTAATTTGTTCAGTTAAATTTACACACACAAAATTGTTTAGACAACATAATATATTTCACATTAGTATACTTGGTGACTAAAATTACCCATTAAAAAACAGTTCCTCCATCACCCAACACACAAAATAGATTTTTAAGGGCGCACAAGACGTTTGAAGTTTTTGTAAAACGATATCAAAATGTGCTCACTATCCTCTTTGGGTCACAATAAGTAACAATAAAACAATATTAACAAAAAACAAAACATTCGTAACATGAGAGAGCATAAAAAAACAATGACCATGAGCCTCCGTGGCAAGTATTTTTTCCTATGATTGTTGATGCTTTACACCTGTAATTAGGAAAAAAATTTATAGGCTCAAAAAATTCCAATCCAAACTAAATTTCCCTGTAGATTGTATGTACAGAGACCAAAAAGTTTAGAATGCTTAAAAAACACAACGGATGTTCATGGTCTTGAACACAATAAATATAAATACCTGTTTGCACTTTAACATTGAGATAGCACAATTTACAAATAACCAAACCTTTCTAAAATCAACTTAAAATAGTCCATAGCTTGCATCTTGTAAACCTAAACTTTGATTCCTGGTAACGCTTAAATGATAAATGGCAAGATGGCTTTTCTCTGGCGAGGATAGCTTGAGAACTCCTTCTTGTAGTTGCGATGTTTGCCAAGGGCCCAAACTGTCATTTGGTACATACCGGCCAGGGTGAACAGACCAGCTGGAAAATATTTAAAAAAAAAACGTAATATAAGACAGCACTCATATAAAAATGTTGGGCTTCAGTAAGATCATTGACTTTAAAAATTGCAAGTACACTTTTCCCCTTGTTCTAAAATTTGAAGTATATTTTGATTACAAGTGTGTGCTGATGTTCAAAAATCCAAATGAGAAAAATATTTAGGGAACTCTAGCCTAAGCCTAACCAATGTAAAACACATTTTATATGCTTTTTGTTTTTATCCATTGAAAAGAGATACAATGTAGTGTAGATAATGCAGCTGGATATAATGTAGCTTGGTAATAATTTCATTTCACTACTTATCATGACCTAATTACATAACAGATACAATTCATGTATATTTACTCAGGTGTTTTGTAATTGTCTCTATTGTTACCTCTCTAAAGCCAGCTCTACATTTTTGCCAACACTTTGTCCACTTTAGAGTCCTATGATACATAAGTTAGGATTGGATTTAACAAAATATCAATTTTATTTTTTGTGACATTTTAAAAATTATTTTCTTACGCATAATTGATATGATAGGCTATAATTTGAAATTTTCACTTTTGTTGGGCCTGTGGTTCAGCCACTAGGTTGTACCAACGTTTAACAAAATTACTACTTTCAAGCCCCTTACTCCCTGAGTCCCACTTTATTTGCCAGAATCGTTCAAAAACCAATCATTTTAGCCTACGTAATCCAAGAAAAACTTTTGTAAAAATATTTGTTGACCTATCAACCTTCAGCTCTGGGTTTCAATTTTCTTTAGTAAGCTATCTAAACTCTATCCCTGACAACAAAGTTCCTATTTTTCTGTAATAATTGGCGTACATACATTTGTATCACCAGAATTGAAACAAATCACAACCAGCACTGATTCAGTGTACAGAAAGGAATATAATACATGGACGGAAAGTTTACATAGCAAGCATTAAGTCAAGATGGTGAACAAGGATGGAAAGCTCACCTGGCAAGCATTGAGTCATGATTGTAAACGAGAGCCAGCTGAGGAACTCGTAAGTGTAGTTGGGACAGGAGACAAAGTTGAAGAGAGCTGTGAGTGGATTGGCCGTTGGTACGGGAATCTTTCGTAAAGTGGTTCCGGGTGGACGAAGGTTACGCAGGGCGACGTGGATGCTGAAGTTACCCAGCTCACTGATCTATAGGGAGACATTAAAAAATCAGAAACTTGCTTACCGTACTTTCTCTAAACCTGAATATCCAAATTAAGGTATTTTTAATTTCATACAGGCCTACCAGTACTGTTCTGATCTGGTTATTTCCAGGTTAGGGCATCCATAGACCTCATCATTTCCCCTTTTCCACACTAAATAGTGATTTACTTAATAAGATATAAACGTAACAAAAAATCCATTCCTAAAACAAAACAAAATTTTTCATACATAGACATTTATCATATATTTTTAAATATCAGAACATATGAAAATTCAAAACAAACAAAATATTATTTAGCTATTGATAAATTTATAATCTAACTAGCTGTTGTACCCGTGCTTTGCAACGGGAAGAGGACACAAAATAGAAACATTTCAATCTTTACATCTGTTGCATATAATAGTTACACATCCGCCAACACTTTTAGGAAAAAAAATCAGTGGTGTGGCAAAACACAAATAATAAATGTATCAAATAAAGTAAATGTGAACTGAAAGCTATGTTAAGATAAAATAAGAGTATTTTGTATTACCATTTAATAATTAAATATTTTTACACATATACAACAGATTTTAGAAAACAAAAATCAACGACGTACAATTTAGTTATTGGTGATATTACATATTAAAAACAATGTGATGTGTAAGTTATGTTATGTTAATGTAACACATGTTAAGCAGTTAGAATTTATTTAAAGTAGCCTCCAAATTTATACAAACCATCTATACATTGTAATTTTCATACTGTTTCCATGAAAACATATCAATAACATTGTTTTCATAACTTAGACGCTTTATAAAATCCAAAGCAAAGCCGGAGTTGGTAGCCTACAGCAACGGGTATAGAATCTTTTTTTTTATAATCATTGACGTAGTTTTAGAATAAATAATCCATGATAAAAGGTTAGATAAACCTACCTCATAGTTATGGAAAATATTATATTTAATTTCTTTGTATCAGCTGTCTGAAATTGTGAAATATGCAGTTCAGCAGTTCTTCTTGTTTACATTTAAATGTCAAAGCAAATGTAAACAAACATTGATAGTGTTCTCATCGCAGCCATGGAGAGCAATCAATATTTACTTTTAAAATGTTCACCTCAGAACTTTTAAAGCCAAAGTGGCAAAGCCTACGGTCAGTATCGAAAGGAGAATAGTCCTGTAATGGTCCTTGGTATGGTAGCTATATTTTTGTAAAATTTAAGCCCAGTTGGTTTAGTAGTTTTTGCACCTATTAGTAACACACATACAGACAGACACCATTAGATTTTTATATAATAGTATAGAAGTATAGATAGTATAGATGAAGCAACAAAAATGTTGATACCTATGCTGTGTTTTGGGATTAATAACAAACAATCATCAGTTCAACCAAACTCGTCTCACTCAAAAGATTATTTCAGAAAAACCGTCACAGCAAATATTTGAAATTTAAGTAGACAAAAAAATTCAAGGAAAAAATTGCTAATATAAAATCTGTCTTAAGATTAAATATCTTATCTTGTTTTTAGACTTACAACAAAGCCAGCCAGAGCAGCATATATCTGCAAGTCACCAGGGGCCGTATACAATGGGTGGTTGACATGATACGCTACATATGCGGTGAACAGCCAATAGTAGGAGCAGTTCTTGAATAAGTTCATGATAGGCATTGTCGCATGAGAGAAGCGATGGACAAACAGTGTCTCCAGGATCCTCTTGGCGTAATGAAACGTCCAGCAACCAGCTGCTATGCTGTAACAAACATTATTTGAAAATTCCAAAAAGCGGATCCAAGACACTTCATAAAATATCCTTTCAATCAATTATTTGAGATGGGGACGCCACCTAGGTGCGTATTTAAGCCCCAATATTAGTGAATGATGAGTGTAGAAAGTTGTGAGATGATCTGTGTAGCTTTGTTGCTGACTAAGATCAGCTGGTTCATTAGTCAAGATAATTTATTTAAGCCCAATGATCAGGAACAAAACTGTTTTTAGAAGTTTTGTTGCGTGAAGCCTTCGATTCTGCAGTCATTGTAGTAAATCGAAGATATTAACAAGTTCAATGCGGTTGCGCGATGGCCGGCCACTGCCGGTGGTGAAAACAGTTAATGGGCTGCGTGAATGATTGTACGAAAGCGTTTAAATTTAGTTTCATCCAAATGAGAGGTATATACTGCGTCCCAGTCATTGTGGACGTAGTTTTACAAGAACCCAACAGATAGCAACACTAAACAGTACTGCTAGCCGGCCCTCAGTGTTGCCAAATGGAGGGAAAAAGCAGGGGTGAAGTAACCGAATACACCATAAAAAATACCGCAAAAAAGAGGTCAAGCACAATTTTGAGGTTAGTTTCCTTCCACAATGCTACAGTACATTTATTATCGTTATTCTATTGCATGTCATTAGATCCAAGCCTAAACCCCAGACAACAATAATTTTTTAACAATCCCTACCACCGATAAAATAGTCAAACGAATTTTACTAGATTGAAGTATGAAACTGACACTGATACTGTATTGAGGTATAAACTGGCACAACAAGCGGCAGACGAAACAACGTCTCACGGCAGTGGCTAACCTCACAATGGAACAATAGTTTGTAAACAGCGCTTCGACAAGTATACTCGTCGCACGCTACTGGAAAAGGTCATCCGCAGTGAACGTGTCAACACATTAAAAAAGTAAATTAGTGTGATTTTGGATTATTTGAGAATTAAACATAAGCAACTGACATTTTTAGCATCTAATCTTATGCAATAGACGTTGGCCTGATTAAATTTGTCATATAATACTTTAAAATAGTCAAATCCAGTTGTATGAGGATTCAGGTTTACACGAGAGTTAGTAAACTAAAGCAAATGGTATCGGTAAAGAAAGAAGAGAGTATCAGTACTTACTGGACGACGTAATGAGGTGTTTGAACCACATCACCGTAGAACAGCCATGGTCTCTGGTAGAACCACAGATATATGAACAGCGGACCTGCATACTCAGCCAGGAACACAGTCACCCAACCGATCTGTCAATCACGAGGCACAAAGTTTAGCAATAAACACCAACGGTGGCAATGACAGTTGCCCCTCCTGAACAATTTTTTGAAGAAGATGTATTCAAACATAGATCAACTTAAACAAATTAAATAAATGAAAATTTAACTACTAGTTATGATGCCTAATGACACAGCTTTAACTAATCGTTATTATTTTGTACTTAAAGACAACAATTTGGGAAAAAGATTTACCAAACCAGAGCATTGATAAACAAGTTCAGTATGCTATATATATATCAAAAGAAATCATTGATCACAATAGTGAAAAAAAAAAACACCCCCACTTGTAAAACTAATATCTTTAGGTTAATATTTAATACGAGGCATGTTTTTAAAGTAAGTACCGTTTTTAAATTTCTCCGTTCCAGCACTTTGATTGGCATTTTCGACATTTGCCCTGTGTATTGGCATCATTGGTAAGACCTAGCCGGAAATTTGAGAAATATCGGCCGTGTTTACATCCGGTTTTGAGCATTCAAAATGGTGCTGCCAATTGAGACTGCCGCCGACTGTGAAGTGCACGCTGTAATTTGATTTTTAAGTGCTAAAGGTGTGCAAGCCATTAAAAATCATCGACAGATTAGTGAAGTGTATGGCGAGAACATTATGAATACCATAATGGTACGCAAGTGGATAAGGGCATTTAAATACGGCCCCACCAACGTTCATGATGAGTAACGCACTGGGCGGCGTCATTACTGTCCCCGTAGTCCGTACCCAGTGCGTTGCTTATCATGAACGTTGGTGGGGCCGTCTTAAAATGCCCTTACCTACCTGCGTACTATTCCGTCACTCATAATGTTCTCACCATACATTTTATTGATCTGTCGATGATATTCAATAGCTTTCATACCTTTAGCACTTAAAAATCTAATTACAGCGCACACTTATAGTTGGCGGCAGTCTCAATTGGAGGCACCATTTTGAATGCTCGAAACCAGATGTAAAAACGGCCGATTTTTCTCGAATTTCCGGCTAAGTCTTACCAATAGATGCCCATACACAGCGCAAATGTTGAAAATGCCAATCGCAGTGCTGGAACGGAGAAATTTAAAAACGGTACTCACTTAAAAAACATGCCTAGTAAATAATGAATCCACCTAATCCAAACATGACAAAGAGAAAACTTATTAACTTTAATTACCGTCAGTCATATTAATTTAATCTCAGATGTCAGAGACAAATTGACCTTGTATTAAATTTAAGTGTAGGCTACACAATATCTTACCTCTGTGTGAATCTCATATGGTCTAATAACACTAAACTCCACCTAATCTGAATTTACCCTGGTCAAAACAAGGTTCAATCCCGATTAGTTCAGATCAGCAAGACTACAGTATCAGCTATATATCTACCTGTGGACCGAGATCTTTCACATACAGCTTTCCTCCACTTTTAAGTCCGAGACTTTGCAACGTTTCGTCTTCTTTGAGCGTCTTTCCTTTAGCCTCCAGCCGGATACTTTGCCGGTCGGGATACAAGTTGCTTTTGAGCCTTTGAACTCCCCTTTTAACATCTTTTATCGTTGACGAATTCCTGAGCTGAAATCAGGACCAAAATAAATACAATCGCTTATAAACATAAGAAGTGTGTATATTCATTTTTCTTTTGAAGAAAAACAGCAAGAATGAGTAAAAAACTAATGTGTAATCAGGAGGAGTAACTCACAAAGAATGCCCCTGTCCTGTTGATTCAATTCAATTCAAAATTGGTTTATTTAGTCATGCAGATTACATTACAGTTTGACAGGGCCGTACTTTATGTCTATGTTCCTGTCATATGTTATTCCTGTACTATGTTATTCCTGTCCGATGTTATTCCTACTTATTATTATATTCTGGTACATTTAAAACGATTAAATGTACTGTTTAACCATTTCAATGTCTGTGTTTGTGTATTTGTGTACTTGATATGTATCGATGACCTTCTGAAGATGACTTCGTAGAAAGTCCACACCAAATTCATAAAATAAATACCCTCACCGCAGCAAACCTCCAGACTAAGCCAATTTCCATTTACCTGGCTGGATTTCTACTACAATATACCCTAAAATTGTCAGATTTATTTCCTATTTAAATAACTAATTAATTTTAACTAATTAAATTTAACTAATAAATAATTAATTTTATATTACCTCCGTAACCGTTGGGAGTACAACAACGCTTCAATAGCCTATACAAAATTGTTTCTTTTTTTAAGCTCTACAAAATTGTTTGGAGAGAAATTATGAAATTTTGTGTTTTTAGGGTTAAAAACGGGGAAAATCCATTTTTACCCCATAAAACCCTCCATATACCCCTGTTCCTACAGTCCGATTATGCTGGTTCGCGAACTCGTTCGAATAAATGTAGGTTTACATGTTTGTACCAAATTTCATCAAAATCGGATCATAAATAAGCTCTGTTTTAGCCCCAGCTGCTAATCTATGGCTAGCTCCCTATAATTCTATAACAACCTTAGAGAAAAGTGCTATTACACTTAACCACACCTTCTATTACACTATTCTATTACATTTCACCAACACTTTCTATTACACGTAAATAAAAGTACTAGGCTATATGGGAATTAAACTATACAATAAATTACCTAATCCCACGAAAAGTTACACCCTCAACACAACACAATTTTCAGAGAAGATTGTTGACTAGAAAGACCTATTACGAAGTTAGAGGCTTTTTGAATGATTCTGAAATGTCTTAATTCCCTGGATACCACAACATTGGCTGAACAAAAAAGTGAAGAACGGTCTGAATATAGCATACTTTTTCTTACTTTGAATAAAATAGACGCATTTCTTTTATGAAAATAGATAGCTGCAAAGTCATTGAAAATGCATGACCATAAACTACTATTGTCTTGCCCTTCCATTCTGTTGAGTCAGGAACAAACTTCTGTACTAAACAAATATTTAGCATATTCCTACTGCTTACACTAAAAACCTATATACTTGTATATACTTGTGGGCCTTCAACTAACTTAAAACCAGTTTATTTGAACTTCAAGTTTCTATATTTTTATTGTTTGCGTTTTTGTTGTTATGTTTAAGTTGCTGCATTTTCATATGACTAGGCCTGCTAATAAAAATTAATATTTCTTAAAACAAAGATTTCTTCTTGTTTTAAAATAAGGAATTATTGTAATTTACTATCTAAATAATTGTTACAGTATAAAGAACACTGCAAACCAAATAACTATCCAACTGTATCAAAACATACATTTGTTTAAATTGTTTTCTTAATTTGTTCAATTTTTTTAATAACTAATACTAGGCATGTACATTTTGGCATAATAGATTACATTTTTCCTCTCACATTCTAAAACGTAAGTTCTAGAAAGTTTACCTGTTTGGATTAACTTACATATTGAATAGGTTATTTTATCATTACAAATACAACAAATTATAGCCTATTTTACTACAAGTGTCAACCGATAAAGTGTAAGGCTATAATAAAGTCGATTTTTTAATAATCTAATAATATAGTTTTTGAGGCATTTTTGTTTACTATCTTACTAATATTATAAATGTGAAAGTTTGTGTGTTTGTTTGTTTGTTTGTTTGAAGTTCAATCACGCATAAACCACTGGACGGATTGGGCTGAAATTTGGCATGATGATAGCTTACATTCCCGATTAACATATAGGCATATTCTTATCTCAAAAATCCTTTCGGGCTCCGCCCCAGTGGCTCTGTAATTCCCCATGTTAACCTTATGAGTATTCATATTTAAAGGGAATTAAAGAATTTAGTCAGCTGTTTCAACTAAAAAAGTTGGTTCTATGATATGGAAAAGCATTAAAAAGTTATAAGATTTACCAACAGGGTGCAGCACTATATTTTTTTTTGCATTTATGAAAACAGCTAATTTGAACTAAGCAGCAACAAAAAACTGTGATTCGCAATGAGAACTGTCAAAGTAGGATTGTTTACAGTTATGTATATGTTTTTCATTTCATGAATAATTTGTGATATTTTGCGAATTGATAATTTATTTTTCTCTATTGTTTAGGTAAAATGGTAGAACATTATGGCTATGGTAGATGTGTAATACTATAGAATACTGTAAATTTAAAAAAGCAAATTTTATCAAACTGTGTCCTCCACCCATTGCAATCGCAAAGCTTTAGTATAACTGCAATAAGCATTTTATACTTATATTCCAACCCCGTACGAAGGACGGGTACTCTGCTAGTTTCATCTATTTTACACCACTGCTGGTGCCATAGCAAACCTTTGTGACTAAAATGCATCCAAGTAAACCTGAGTAAATGAGACGGCAACCTTTTGGTTGTAATTACTTGTGGAGTCCTCACGATTCTAATAGAGGATATTTGGAGGAACTTTCACCAAGGTCTCCGGGCCGTGACAACATCCAACTGTGATTCCAACCAGTTCTATTACTTATCACACTAGTTGACCTTGACCTTGGTATGACCTTCGGCCACTGTCATATAGCAAGTGATTCTTGCTATTTTACACTTCTCTTCAAGATAATAGTTCTCAGACTAAACAAAAATTACGTAAAATTAAGATTATTGAATTATAAGATAAATTGGTGTACTGTAGCTATGGAGCGCACAATTGCCTTTGCATTTTTTTTTTTATCTGATATATTTAAGTTAACAACAAGATTACTGTAATATAAAATTTATGTGTTTTCATACATTCTGTTGTATTGATTTAGTATATAGAGAGTTTAGAGGTAAAATTACCCAAGTCCGGTAAGGATTACCGATGCAAATAATTTATTTTCATCGTAAAACTTTAAACAAATAATTTGTCTCTTATGAAACCAAGATAAATAAATTAAATAATATAAAAAGTTATCATAGTGGGTTAATCATTTCACCTCCAGTAAATATTTGAAAATCCAACTTATTACTAGTAAGTCCCTAAATAGCTCAAAATGTAAAACAACGTATTGTATTGTAATATTTAAATAAACTAAGAATCAACTTATTTATTTGTCAAGATGGATATTCCTGTACACCATATATTTGTGTAAAAGGGTATCTCTGTTTGCTTTGGTTGTTGTTATCTATGTGTGTGTATATGTATATATATAACTGGTAACCTTATAAACTTGTTACAGGGGTCATAATATTCACCTAGTTCATGACATTTCTCGCTTGTTCAGGCATTGTCAAGTGTTCTTTACAAGAATGTTTCATCCAAATTAGATACGTCAATTACAATAAAATAAATACACATTTCACACTTTCACCTACACGAAAAAACATTTAAACATTAAGAGTAGGCCTACTAATTAACCGATGCAGACTGCCTCAGGTAAGTTATGTTTACAGTCTGCGGCGGGGGTATAGTTTAGTGCTGGAGATAATAGATCTCATAATTAATTACAAAACATGATAGATTGTACAATACTTGATAAATATACTCACAGTATCAAGTGTTCCAATGGGTTTATTTCCAGATGTGCTGAAGATTTGGATCTGGAAAAAGTAAACAAATTAAATTGATGATAGTCAACATTTAATTGTATGACAAATTAATTAAAACAATAAGGTAGTTAAAATAATTTCTCATGTTATTTTAATAAATGGTAAGATAATTTAATATAGATAATTACAAGACAAATAAATCTAAATTTACAGATATTACTAAAAATTTTGATTCTTTCAATAAATATGTTGGATGCCTTAATAGCTAACTAAAACAAAATAGCCTTTTCACAGTAATCTCACAAAAACCCAAGTTTTAAAATTACCTACATGTTGATAAAACCCTACAAAATCACTTTTGGAAATTGTAGGAACTACAAATTGTAGGAAATTGCACAACCCAAAGTTTGTGCAAATTGTACAAATTGTAGGAATTGTTGGAAATTATAGGCTAGCTAATCGGAGCAGGTACTTTAATGCTGTATAGTTATTTGACCTCTTAAACTATTATTGTTATTGTATGGCTATTAGAGGAGAGAATTTTCCAAACAAAGTCAGTTATCCCTGTTTCATAGTCATAGTCAAGAATCTGTATTCGTAAGTATACATGGTTGTATATGAATAGTGTCAAATCAATTAAAAACTAATGCTTAAGACTAAGATAAATAATAATAATAATAATAATAATAATAATAATAATAATAATAAATCTTTATTTGTCGTAAAAATACAAAAGTATCATTGACAAAGTCATAAGATGCAGTGCAACTGCCAGGTCATACAATATTTATTCACTTTTAAAACTATCTTAAAGGTAATAGCCCAATATTGAAGAGAGAAATATATATATACATATTGAAAAATGTACATAACAAGTTAAAAAGGTACAATCACAAATTAAAAACAGCAACTTCTAAAATGATAAAATGTCAAAAAAATACTACACCTAAAACTGGACATCTTCACAACTGAAAAAATCTTCCAGTTTATAAAAGGGGTGTCCCAACAACCATAAGTAAAGCTTATTTTTAAATTCTTTTAATGGCCTATTTGCAATTAGCTTTTGAAAAACATTGTATATTTTTATAGATAAAATTATGTGGCTACTTGAGGTTGTATTTAAATGATGTGTTTCTAAAGCAGCATTATTTTTGTTTCGTGTATTATACCTGTGGTTGCCAAATTTCAGATGGTTATGTATCCCAAGGTTGTACATCATAATATCATATATATATAAATTAACAACAGTCTGAATCTCCCATTCTATGAACAATTGTTTACAGTGCTCATTCCGATTAGATCTATTCATTATTCTTAAAGCTTTTTTTTGTAATTTCAAAATTTTTTTAATTCTCCTGCATCCCCCCCAGAATATCAACCCATATCTTATAATGGATTGAAAGTAAGCAAAGTATGCGGTTTTTATATAATTGTTTGGAATTTGGTGTCTTAGGCGTCTCAAAAGAAAAATGATTCGGGATAATTTTGAAGACAGATAATCAATGTGGGATTTCCAGGATAACCGATGGTCAATGAGTATACCCAGAAATTTTGCTGTGTGTACATAGTTTGTGTTAGTTACAGAGAAGTCTTGTTTTAATGTAAATACAATGTTTTGAGTTTTTTCTTCATTTAGTAATAATCCATTTGAATGGAACCACCTTGATTCAGCCAACATTGTCTGATGAACTGTACTGTCTAGCTCACTCAGCTTACTACCGACATGAAAGAAAGTGGTATCATCTGCATATAAAATGGACTTTTTATTTAAAGATGATGGCAAATCGTTTATATAAATGATAAACAATAAGGGACCCAGTACTGAACCCTGAGGTATACCCCATTTCAATCTTTTTTCTTGAGAGATTTTTCCATTGGTGAAAACTATTTGCCTACGGTTTTGTAAATAGGATGAGAAAAAACTAAGAGGTGAACCAGAAAACCCAAGATAATTTAATTTGTTTAAAAGAATATCAAAGTCAACACAGTCAAAAGCCTTACTCAGGTCACAAAAGGTGGCCTGAGCATAGGTTCTGGCTTCAAAAGACCGGAGGATTTCTCTTATTAGGTCGTCCAAAGCATTATTTGTGGATAGACCTTTTCTAAAACCTTATTGGGATGGGTTTAAGAGGTTATTTTGTTCTAAAAACTCGCTTACTTGCTCATACACCAAAACTTCAATCAATTTACCAACCACTGGAATAATTGAAATTGGGCGGAAACTTTCTGGTTTGTCCCTAGGACCCCTTTTATAGACTGGACATACCCGAGAAATCTTTAATGAATCGGGAAATTTACCCTCATGTAATAGTTCATTAATACAGTGTGCAAGAGGATTATCTAAACTTTTTACTATGTGTTTAAAGAGATTGTTTGATCGTTTGATTGTTTGATTGTTGAAATCCTCTGGGAAACAATAAACACAGTGTGGTCCAAAAAGGAAACATCCCTAAATGAAATAACCCTTCAAGTAGATGGCCAACTCATAAGTAATGTGACCCATGTTGCAGAGCATCTGAATACATTTTTTACACAAGTAGGAGAAAAAACAGTAGAGAAACAAAAACACCTTAAGACCACAGCTCAAACTCCTGACGTAACTCAAACAGGTCCACTGTTTTCCTCCTTTCAAAGCACAGACGAGAAGGAAGTTAAAATGATTATAAACAAACTTAAAGCAAAAAACTCGTCTGGAATTGATGAAATCTCGTCAAAAATACTTAAGCATTGCTGCAATGAACTAGCACTACCATTGGCTGATTTGATAAATAAGTCCCTAAAACAAGGCATCTTTCCTTCACTACTTAAAATAACTAAAGTATACCCGAAATTTAAAAAAGGTAGCACATTAGAAGCAAGCAACTACAGACCAATTTCCCTCGTTTCCACCTTCTCCAAAATATACGAAAAAGTTGTTTTAAAAAGACTTTTAGACCACTGCACAAATCACAACCTACTAAACAACCTTCAACATGGATTTACAAAAGGGAAATCCACAACAACAGCAATTATTCAGATGGTTGAGTCCCTGATTGACAGCCTAGATGAAGGAAATCTAACAACAGGAATCTTTCTTGATTTCAGTAAGGCATTTGACTGCCTTGACCACCAGCTAATCATTAAAAAGCTGGATTCCCTGGGGGTATCAGGGATAGTAAGAGAATGGTTTCAAAGCTACCTTACAGACAGGAGTCAGTTTGTAGAACTAAGGCACAGAGATAACAGCCTAATAAGAAAAACAAGATCAAATTTTCAACCAATAAATCGAGGAGTTCCCCAAGGTTCAGTTATGGGTCCGGTACTGTTTATTCTTTTTACCAACGATTTGCCGCAACAAATAGGAGACGCCTGCCTTACTCTTATGTATGCTGATGACACAACCTTAGTGTTTAATGAACCACTAGCTGAAAATCTAGAAGTAAAATCCTATGTGTCACTCAGTATGGCCTACCAATACTGCTATAACAATGATCTCGCAGTAAACACGTCTAAAACAACTCAAATAGCTTTTGGCCGTAAATCTCAAGAAGTGCCACGACTCCCAGATGTAGAAGTGGAAGATGAAGCTAAGTTTTTGGGCATCACACTCGACAAGAATTTAACCTGGACCCCTCATGTGGACAATATATGTAAAAAATTAAGTTCAACCATCTATGCTCTTAAACATATAAAAAATGCAACAGATGACATGACAACAAAAGTAGCATACTTTGCACTTTTCGAGTCGCATATGAGATATGGACTTGTAGCATGGGGTGGAACCTCTGCCACTAACATGCAAAGAGTTCTCAGAAAACAAAAAAAGGCAGTCAGAATAACTGCAGGACTCCACAGACTCGACAGCTGCAGGGAAGCATTCAGGTCACTCAAAGTACTTACCCTTGTAGCACTCTACATCCAGGAAGTTGTGTTATTTGCAGTAAGAAATAACCCTACAAGGCGTGGCGAAATGCACCAACACAACCTGAGAAACACCATGCAGTACAACCTTCCACAACATCGCACGGCACAGTTTGAAAAGAAACCTTCATACGCAGGAATGAAAATCTACAACAGGCTACCTCCAGATCTAAGAAGCAAGTCAGAAGATGACCTCAAACCAGCTTTGCATCAATGGCTCATTAATCGACCTTTCTATTCCTTAGAAGAATACCATCAACAGGTCTTTGACCAAACAACACCTCAACCAAACATTTAGAAAAAATTGTAAATTGACGCTACTACTATTCTTAATGAATGTGTAAATAAAGATTATTTGTCTATTGTCTATTGTCTATTGTCTATTGATATACCATAAATATCTTTGCTTTGGGAACTTTTCATTTTTTTCACAGCAGACAACACTTGCTTAGGAGTAACCTTTTTCCAACTAAAATCAACATTAACTTTTCCAACATATTTTGTACTGAAATCTATGGGCACAGAGCTTGAAGTTAAAGAAGAGTTTTTAATCTTACCTTTAATGTCACCAATGGATTCAGTAAAGTATACATTAAACACATCAGGATCAATGTTAGAGTTACCAGTATTTTTACATATATTATTATTCTTAATAATATCCCAGGCTGCTTTGCATTTATTGCTGCTATTTTCAATGTAATAGGCATTATTGAGCAGCTTGGAATCAATTATGGCTTTTCTATACTGCCTTTTTAATCTTTTATATTCATTTTTAATATTTAACCTATTACTGCCCTTAGATAGACTATGTAAAAATAATAGCTTTTCTTTCATCATAGCCAAATCATTAAAGCCATTTAAATTCATCTACCTATAGAGTATAAGGACAGGTCCATCAAATATTCCTTGAGGAGTTTTTTTTTAATATTGGTTTTTTGTTCTGTTTTAATTTTAAAAGGAATACATTTGAAAAATTCATATCCTGCATTGACAGTTTTTTTTTAAGAGCTCTAATTTTTTATTTCCAATTACAAAGTTATTTTTGTTATGTGTATTGTAGTTATGATTGTTTTCTTTAATTGGTGGATTAAAATGTTTATTTTCGACAAACATAATACAGTCAAGAACATATAAACCATAAACAGTGAGGATTCTTAAATATTTCAAGTGTTCTTTGGCAGAATCATTGTGTTCATTATTAACATAGATGTGATCGATTTCTTCTGTATCGTCAAAATTTTGTCCAGATTCGATTTTGAGGTAGCTTTGTACACACATGCCATAAGATATATGGGGAAAATAAATCATTTAAACTTCAATATTGCATAGTTTAGACATTTTTTGAATCGCAAAGAGACCAGAGTCTATTTTATCTAAAACAAGTTAAGAATTTGTTGGTCCCAAGATAAGTTACTGTCCAATGTCAGACCAAGGAACCTTACAGCTTCTGTTATTTCAATTGGTTCGCTTTGTACTTCAATATTAGGATTGGAATTGTATTTGTTTTTAATGTGACACATTTAGTTTTACTTTCATTTAATTTTAAATTGTATTTATTTTAAAAATCCTCAATACAAGATATTTTTATTGTCGATATAAACTCTAAGACTTCTGCAGTTTTCTCCTTCATTTTTAAGATAGCAGGATTGACCACTGAAGATGGCGGCATGAACCATAGGGTCACAGCATTTTCACAAAGCTAAAAGTCATTCAAAAGCCAGATTGAACCTTCTTCTTGTAAATAAACTGTTTTAACAAACCAAAACTACTAGGGAACTTCAATGTATGGTAGGAGAAAAGACAAAATTAAATTTACAACCTGATTTGAAATCTTAAGTTTTCCAGTTAAATGCAATAATTGTAGAACTTTTTTTGTTAATTTATCAACAAATCAAAACTTTAGATAAATAAAACCTCCCTCAATGACAAGTTTTGATTGTGAAATACAGAACTCACTCTAGCCATGACCTGCAGATACAAAAGATTGCGGATCATTAAAGGTTCTAATTATAATTGATTAAATGCAATCAACATCTTAAACAAATCTAATAGAATGTCTTTAAAGAGTAGACATTTAAATAGTAGGTGTAGAATCCTCTTAGAAAGGTGTGAGACACAAATATCAAGATATTAGGCAATATGTTTTCTATTTTCTATAAATAACCTCTGATTTCCCAAATTATTTCGATATTGTTCACAGCTTATTCTCTATTCACTTTACTTCAAACTAGGATGGATAAATTGTCAAAAAATTAATGATTTTATTAAATACTCTATTAAAAACTAAATGCATTTTAAATGTTATTAGTTGTTATTTAGAGTTAGGCCTACATGCAATCTTTTAATCTTTTAGTAGTAATGTAGTTGGTCTAATGCTAATGGCTATCACAGCTCTATCACGATCTGGGACTACTATTCTTAGGGTACTAAACCTACACATTGGAACAGGACTTGTAGATTGTTCACTCACTATTTGTTGACAAAATTTAGGCTGTTTAAAGACAAGTTTTCTTGGGTCCCCCACAACTTTTTTTTGCTTAAATGTATTTATCAGCTGATCAGCTGTTGTTTCAGAGTAAGGTGAAATGGAAGTGGCCTAAATTTGATAAACAAATTTTATAGATGAATATTTGGCTAGGATAAGGAAAGGCCCTACACACATCTGAATTCTCTGTGTGTTGCACGGGACATTTGGACAGCACGTTTTTATATAAATCAATAAAAATGACTTTAAAGTCTGCGTTTAGATGTTTGAAGTAGGCCTACTAGATTTAGCCTATGGTCATAGATTATATAAGTATAGATGAATAAGTTTCATTACTTTTACTTTCTTAATGCGCAAATCTGCGCAATATCTTAACATTTATTCTGTGTCAAATAGTAAATACTAAATAGTAAAGGTTTTGGGATAGACTGGTCAAAAAATTGTATGTTCAAACTTTTTGGTTTACTTTTTAAGTATAATCTGCAAAAAGTAATATTTAGGTATCAGTCACAACTATTTTACACAATATAATTAATAATAACGACTATAAAAAATTAAGGAATAATCAAACTCACACTTTTTAAATAAATATTTTGGTAGGCTAAGTATATTTAATAACTTAAGGGACAGTAGGTATATTAAAAATTATAAAGAAACGATAATCAAATTTATTTTCTTGAAAGATACAAGTTTTATTTTGTTGTAAATAATTAATATTTATATTTAAAAAAAAATTGACACAGTTTATCCAGCTATGCTGGTCAACAACGCAGCTTTGGTAATAAGGTGATATTAGCGAAAAAAGTCATAAAATTCTGGGCCTAAAATCTCTGAATAAATTGCCTATCAAATTCCTATCACTTCCCTATAAAGCTCAAATTCATAATGTGGCTAATTTAGTTAACAACCCATTCTAACTTAGGCCTACAAACCAAATGATTTTCTAAGTTAGAACTTCCTAAGTTAGACGTTTAAATATTGAGTAGTGTATATATTTTTCTTGTAGCCTAGTTATCCTCATCTGCATGTATTTTTAGCGAATTTCTCATAGCTCATAGGGAATAAGCTATTAGTAGGTACCGTAGTACTCGTGGGAAGACGTGGACCCAATTTATACTGTTTTGTTTTGAGGTCCCTAGATGCCAAAAACACCATCAGTTCAAATTCACATACCTATATATATTTGTTTTTGTCAGTCTAACGTGGGACAAATCAAATTAATGTGTTTTTCTAGTTTTAAAATTAAACATACCATTCTTAACCTAAAATACTTTTGTTGTCAACAAATGTACTAAGTTAGTATGACCAAGAATAATCTGTTAACCCAAGTTTTCAATTGGCAATAAGTTAAAATAATATATCAAAGAAAATAAGCTTTAAGGCCTATTAATTGTACAATGATCTAACAAAAATGTATAATGAGCTCTAATAACAATGTCCGATTGTTGAAAGTATAATTCTTTTAAAACATAATGTATCTAAGAGTAAAATTGATTGTTTGTGGAAAGAGTAGTTTATAAGTATAACGTTATAACGACAATTATTGAATTATCTTACCTCCATACTTTTGGGGGGAAATTATTGCAAGTCACAATCACAATTACACAAAGAGTAAAGAGTTCTCTGCTCTGCTGAGTTTGAGAAGGCAGACGACGGTTGCAGTCAGTTCAGTAACTCTGTCTGTCCCTTCTCGAAGAATGAGTGATGAGTGTTCAAAAACCGCAAACCGGTTGGTTAGAGTAAATTTGACAACATCACGTCCTCTCTGTCAGTGTGTCGTCTCTACTCCGTTCCGTTACAAAACAAAAGTAAACATAATGCGCCAAAGAGGTTCTTTTTCGCTCTTATAGTACTAAGATGGCATAGTACTATAAAAAGTACCAAACTTTAGGTAAATACATGGTAAAGTATCGAACAAGCCAATATTTTTTTTAACATGGGTCAAATTATTGTTGAATAATAAGATAGAATCAGGTTTTAGGGACTTACTCTATTATTAAATACACTGAATTAAACAAAAATATCCACCACAGCTGATGCTAATAATGATTTAAAACTAATATAAGTAATAACAAAATACAACAATTTTCATTTCTTTCTTTCAGGCGAATTTCCCTATAGGGAAGTAGTAGCTATTACCGTAGGTCTCATGGTAAGACTTGAGCCCGGGACCGATTTACTTTTCCATTTTGATGTCCCCAGAGGCCAAAAACACTATTCGTTCAAATAATATATTATTTATTTTTATATATGATCGTGAACACGATAACTCGAGTAATTTTTGTCCGAATTGGGTAAAATTGTAAAAATTGTGTTTGTAAAAATTGGGTTTTCTCATTTTTGACCCTCAAACCAAAAAAAATTACAATTGATCACTAGACCTTTTTAAAGAGCTTAAAAACAAATAATTAAATGTATCAAATTTTTTGTACGGTTATTGGTAATAGAGAAAATTCGAAAATTTTTAAATTAAAAATTCGCATGCTTTTCATAGGGAGAATATTGTAACATGTTGTAGTTTGCTTGTTTATGGATATTTTTTGATCAAAATTGGCAAATTTATTTATTTTATCCTAAGTTATTGATATTTTACTAAAAACCACACTTTATTAGCCTCCCTGTAGCAGCAAAACTTAGTTACTGGTCAAACCTAATGATATATTAAAATAGATTTGATTGAAAATCAATTAAAACAAATAGAAATTCTCTTAGAATAGCGGGGGTATTATTCTTAAATCACATCTTCTCTTCTTTCCTATTCACTTGATCTCTTCAGTAATTTTATCCCATTCCTTGAATCCCCTATGTGGTCTACCATTTAGGTTTAAGATCTTTAGCGTCTTCAGGTTCTATTGAATAATACAATTCGTAACAACTCAACCTGAATAAAATTAAATGATATTTATTCGTCTAAAGACATTATATAAATGCATGAGACACAGTCAAATTATATCAATGCATGCTGGTAGAGGCACAAGTCAAGTTCAGTCAACTTATACCTATACCTTAAGATGATATGGGGTCCTGGAGTTGCTCTGTATTCTAATACGTGCGTAAAAGCTGGACCTTTGTACTTGATGACGATTTTTTAGAGCTTGTACTGCAAGACATCACTATTTTCTTGATGACTGCTTTTAATTTCAAAGAAAAGTATAAAGTATAATTGTTTTTTAACCAAAATATGGCTGCAAAATCTCTCTATTCTAAACTCTCTAACTTCTCTATGTAAGTTGAGATCTTGAACCAGAAACAACGTTTTCGGGGATTCCATAGCGGGCAGAACATGATTTCATCTTCTCTAACAGCTCATCAACAGTCATTGTAGATATATTTATTAATATTCTAGGTATCGCGAATAATAGTCCAAAACTGCCAAGTGTAACTATAAACCATTCATAAAGTCCAAGTAGGTGACGCTATTTTTTTGCCATGGATAGCCAGGAGTGTAGGAGTGTACAAGATGGATCCAATAAGATTTTAGAGATCTCAAACCTGCAAGTTTTGCCTACTAGAAATTCTATAACGGCCAAGAACATTCTAAATAACTACTGTATTAATTATAGACAATACAGAAATTCCTGGAATGTTCGGGAACGTCCCTGATCATTGTGGAAAGTTCCAGAACACACTTAAATGTTGCAGAATGTTCTAGAATTTTCTTTAATATTAAACATATGATATAATAGTTAACTATCAGACTGCTTTGACTATAAGAGCGCATCCATATGAATAGTAAATCTATATGGAAGTCAAAGTTTACTTTTATTTATCTATGATAAAAATATGTATTTTGTCCATTTTTTTTGTCAAGAAGCAGTTTGATAACTAACTCAATGATCTCTCCCTCTCCCAGTACTGGAATCAGAATCAGGAACCGTATGATTTATTTATCGTGTTTATGACTACTTAAAATGTTATTTATTTGAGTAATTTTATTATACATCCCCAGTAATCTAACTGATAAGTGAACACTTTGTGCTATAACGGTTTGTATTAGCTGAAGACAACCCAAAGGCTAAGCTAAAGCTCTCGAATGTTCTAGATAGTTCTTTCTGTGTCGAGGGTCACGTGATACTACGTATTGTCTGTTCTGTTGCCACCACCACAGGAAAAACCTCATTGCTTTTTGTCAGTGTGTAATTTACGATCGAAGTGAGAAGAACGATTGTGAGAAAGCTTTTCTTGGTGATCGATTATAAACTTGGTGATAAGTTTGTGTGTCAAGTGTTATAAGTGTGGAATTTGGAATACTTTTTTCTTTGTTTTGTAAGTATTTGTTTATAAATGTTCAAGTGCAATTGCAAGTGTTAGCATTCATTGTATAGGCTATATGACATAAGGCAACATGTTCTACGACCTAGGCTAGGCTTGATTGATACATTGCTTGATCAAAATAACTGAGGACTAGGCCTATTTTGTTTTATTCGAGAGGCATGGGCTTATGCGTCCAAATTTATGACAATATTTTGCTTCATATTGTAAATTAAGAGCAAAAGAAAGGTCATCCTCTTGGTCCAAGAGAGACAGGTGGTTCAGCTAAACATTGGAAAATGATTAATGTGTCACTGAAATTAGTGTTGCCATCATAAGTAGGCCTAGGCGTATATTTAGGGTATATGAAATCTTACTTGGAGCCATTTCTAGTTCAGTCAATCTTGTTAAATTCATAAATGTAGGCTAACTTAGGCTAATTTACTTATCCTCGCTTAGGGTACATTTTCTTAACTGGTTTATATGCTAATATCGATTGAAACATTCGATTAGTGAACCTTCATTCGATTTTTTCAGCAAGTTTGGTTAGTTAGGTTCAGGGGTGCCCATCCCCCTAAGGCTTATGACCCAAATTTTCCCCCCCAAAACTGGTCAAAACATCTGCCCAAATCAGTCGTAGGATCACCCCATAAATAAAGTGTCATTTTAACCGTTAATTAGTTCATTGCTTGTTCATTTACCTACTTAACTTAACTTACCTGATTATTGAAACGAAACATTAGGGCCTAAGTTATAAGGAGGCCCGTTTTTGAACCTGTCTGCGCCCTAGGAAAAACTATTAGTAGCTCCCATTCAAAATATATATCTATAAATTAATAGACTAGCATGTTTCTTTTAAACCTTTTTTCTTAGCTTGTGTACATCACAGGGAAAATCTACGCATATTGTTAGAAAGATAAGTATATCCCTTTATAAATTAAAATTAGGCTAAAAAATAAGCACAATGAAACATAAATTTAAAATTTGAAAAAATTCACATGGGCCTTATGGGTTGCCAAGCTGGTGACGAAATAACAATGAATTATTAACGGAAAATCAAAACAAATGGAAGAAATTCCGATCACATGTTTTATTTACAGTGTGGGATGAAAATAGAGAAGTCTGTACATAACATATTTTTGGTTGAGTTTTCGACCAGTCGACGACCTTTAGTACGGTACCTATAAGTAAATAAAACAGGGTGTACACCTACCGGGAAAACCTGGAATTTTGTGTGATATTTAACTTATATTTCTAATATTTGTATTTCTACTGGAATTTTCAATTCACCTTGATCACGCATGACAACAATGACGTATCCGCGACCGCAAGAGACGATAATAATTAGCCTATGTCTCTACATGACTTTGGGATATGATTAACATTTTGCCTCTATCGCGAGGGACGATTACGATGTCCACATGGCCGCGGGATACGATAATGATGTCTTCACGGCCGCGAGGGATAAGTTTACCGCAATCGCATGCAAAAAGATCCACCATATTTTTATTATTTTCCAATTTTTGGCGCCCCTCAAAAAAACCCATTACCTCGCGCCCTAGGCACTTGCCTATTCGGTAAATCGGTCCTGCCTATAAGTTGTTACAAACACATTGGCTAAACAAACTATAAAATTGCATAACATTTTCAGTTGATGCTAGAAATTAAAGTAGGTAGCCTTAGAATTTACTTAAATAAAAATTGAGTAAGTTTTATAAAACTCTCTTTGGTTTGATTGAAGCCGGTGTTTAGTAAACACTTAATCGAGGAAAGGTAATTTCACTTGATAAATTAGTTAATTTAAAATACCATATAGGCTAGGAAGAGTAAACATTTTGCCTACCACTTGGACTCAGTGCATTCCAACGTAAGTTAACCATGCAAGAAACATACGTTTAAAAAGGTTACAAATTTGTTCAAAAGGATGTGAAGACTGCTTGTACTGTAATATCCAAAATCAACGATGACTACCGTACATTGTTGTTGCTATTTCTCAGAGCTTTAAGATTGGTAGAAACAAAAATCATGATTAGGCCTACAAAATTGTTTAACAAAGTAAATCATGTACCTAGTTGTGGTTGTGGAGTTCTCTAAAAATTGTAATTAGGCCTATGTGTAAGTTATATCACCTTGTTTTAATAAGCATGCATATTTTAAGGCCTAATACAACAACATGTAAAGCAATTTAAAATCATAAACAACAATTTAAATTTAAAACATTTTAATTTTACAGTTTCCACAAGTCTATTAGAATATTAGACTCTTCTATTCTTAGACTCTCTCTATTAGAATTATATAGCCACTCTTATTTAATTTTGTAGAATGAACACTTATTTTTATGTTTGCTTTAGTCAGCATGTTTTACTATTGTACTTATGACTGCCTTGTGCATTTCAAGCATCCATGACTAGATCGATTGCATGTAATTTTGCCTAAAGATCAATAAATGTCTTATGTCTTATTAATTCCCACAAGCATGATGTTTACAACTAGAGAGAAGAGGTTAATACAGCAACAGTTAAATACAAAATTAGGCCTACTTATATCCTTTGATCAATAAACAATTTAGACCCAAACACTTAGCTGTACAAAATATTGCTGAACAACAAAATCGGCTGCTAGACTATTTAAGAATTGAAATAGAATCCATAATATTAAAACATAAATCAGCCATCCTGTCACCAGAGAAATAGGCCTGAACGTATTAATAGTTATGGCATTTACACATAGTATAAATAAATAAACGATACATAGGCCATTCCATTTTTATCCAAGAGCTGAAAAGTGTTGCACACGCCGATTTACAATTAATCATAGGTAACAATTTTAGTCAGAAATTAATGTAGGCCTAGAAACAAGAAAATGACATAGGTAATCTACTAAAATCTATTTACAGGTACCTAATTGAGAAATTGCTGTATTGTAGGCTATTTAAAAAAAAATGGTTATTTTTGGAAAACTAGAAATAAACTTAATTCTGTGGGAAGCTAAGTTAATTTTTAGACTTGGACCTCTTATGCATCATCACACGTCATTTACTTTGTACTTTACACCTTACACCAAAAAAATGGTGTAATACTGATGACCAGACACCCTGTATAACATCTCAAAATACAAGTATTTCGGATGTAACGAGGTTTTATGAGGGATTTTACGGGGTAAAAATTGGTTTTTGCCATTTTTGGCCCTAGATACATAAACTTTTGCAATTTATTTTTATAGCCATCCCCGCATACAGCTATGTAAACAATTGACTTGGCCATTCTTGCTGCTTACAGCTTAGCTCACTGCTATCATCCTGGCTACCTAATTCGTAGGCAGCGCCACGAGCGTTGCTATGCTGAGTGCATGGCAACGCTGGTGGCGCTGCCTACGAATTGACAGGCAAAGCTCTCTCATAGTAGGCCTACTTAACGCTTTTTACCATGCGGTTGGCATTCTGGGTTATAGTAGTAGGCCTATGTTTTCTGTGCAGTAAGCGAGATAACAACTAGCTAGGTCACCAGTTACCTTCCCTGTTCTACTGTGTTTGTACCCTTCACTTACTTTTCCCATAGGGGACGTAGGGCCGCAACAAAAGCTCTCCGCCGTTCACGGTTCCGGGCCAGCTGCTTTACTTCTCTCCAGTTCTCGCTTTCCTCCTCTATCTCTTTATCTCTATCTCTTATCTCTTTTTTTTTTTTTTGGAGGAGGTCGTTGCACCTCCTCCAAGCTATCTTTGGAAGTTTTTTCTGCCTACCTTATATTAGACTTTTTTAGTGCTCTTTAAGTCATTTTTATTTGTAGCCTACTGCAACAAAAACAGCTGTTTTTAATACATGATATGCTGGTCAAAAGTAGCTCTTTTCTTCCTAGGGGGTAAAAATCAAGCTGAGAGTCGATGATGTCAGTAGTACATTTTGCTCACTTGTTAACTTCGATTGTAAGCAACTGGCTGTATCGAAAGTAACAGATTGTAAATAATCGGTTGTATCGAAAATAAAGAATTGTAGGCAATCGGTTGTATCAAAAGTAAAGGATTGTATTCACTCGGTTGTATCGAAAGTAAAGGATTGTATGCAATCGGATGTATCGAAAGTAAAGGATTGTATGCAATCGGTTGTATCGAAAATAAAGAATTTTAGGCAATCGGCTGTATCGAAAGTAAAGGATTGTATTCAATCGGTTGTATCGAAAGTAAAGGATTGTATGCAATCGGTTGTATTGAAAGTAACGGATTGTAAGCAATCGGTTGCAGGGCCTATCAATTGTTATCAATGGATTTTAGTTTATAATGCATTGGTTTCGGCTGGATTCACATTTTAGTTTTCGTTGAATCTGAGATTGATGACATGGGAAAAACGGTTTGCACTGAAAGTCCAAGAAACTCAAGAAAAATGTTGATAAATAATAGTTTGACATATCGACATTCATTTAGTTCATGTGTACACTGCAACGAGTTGGCTCGCCGCTTACTGGCATCATTTGTGAACAGAATGGCGCCATTGCAGCTCTATAGCTGTACGCTTCGCTGGGTGTTTTGAAATCATTGAATATCCCCCGCATGCAATGGTCAGTGATAAGTTTTTGGACCAAAAGAAACATTTTATCCCGACATTCATGGCCAGATGACTGAAGGTTTGGCCCTAATGCAATGAGTGAGAGGACAGTTTGTAAATAGTTTAATGAGTGTAAATAAAGATTTGAACCTATTTTTGATTTATGAATCCTGTGAGAAGTCTGGGTACCCAAAATGTCATTTCCACAGCCATTTTTAAACTCCTTAACCCATTTCTACACTTTCTATCATTGGATTTAGACCACAAACATAATTTTTCTGAATCTGGCGATGAATGTCTGCAGCCGATATGTTTCTTGCATTCAAAAAACATATTACTGATCCTTTATCACATGGGGTAAGAGATTAAATAGTCAAACAAAAAATCTACACATAGCAAAGTGTACATGTCAGCTACAGAGCTGCAAATGGTGCAGTTCTGTTCACAAATGATGTGGCGAGGAGGCTTGTTGTGATGTACATGCAAACTAAGAATTCTATATGCACAAACGGCCCATAAAAACGGATGAATAAATATTTTATATGGTATTGTACAAATTTAATGCTTTTAGCCTATAATTATCCTATATATGTATGCAGAGGAAGGAATAACAGTTAAAACATTCAAATCCTCTTCTTTGCAGAAATGGCGAGTAACAAACATCGCAAGAAAAAATTTACTCCCTCAAGAGAAGAGCTTAAAAAGGCAATTATTGAGAAGATGAAAGATTTACTATTATGGGAAGACTCGATGATTGAGCAAATTCCTCCTTGTTGGGATAACTTTGATAATTTCATTATTTTTAGTTCAAAATATTTTACTAGTGATCGGTGGAGCAAAGCAGGACCTAGGCTTTGGGAGCAGATATCAAACTTGTTTTGTGGCAAATCTATTGCTTTACAAGGCAAAATCAACAATGATGATTACAGATCGCCTAATGCCAGGGTTGTGTTTGGCCCCTCTCAGTGGGTTACCTTGTTGGATAATGGCATTTGGTTTACTTGGAATGTTGAATACACCATGTTCTGCACTGGCAACGTATCTGAAAGACACCGAATCGCTAGTTTTACTTGTGAAGGCGAAACCATTGTAGATATGTTTGCCGGTATTGGTTATTTCACATTGCCGTACCTCGTACGTGGCAAGGCAAAGCACGTTTTTGCTTGTGAGTGGAATCCCAAGTCTGTAGAGGCATTAAATCTCAATTTAACTCGCAATAAGGTCACAGACAGGTGTACTGTGTTGGAGGGAGATGTTAATTTAAAAGCCCCACGAGCAGTTGCAGATAGGATAAATTTGGGGCTGATACCATCGTGTGAACAATATTGGCCTACTGCCGCAGAAGTTTTAAAGCCCTCTGGTGGAAATTTACATGTTCATGGAAATGTCTCATCGTTTTCTTCTGGTCACAATGCATTATCCGAGTGTGAAGTTTGCATCAGGTTGTTGCAGTCATTATCAGTAGGCCTAGATACTACTGAACCGTCCGTTTTGAGGGGTTTAGGTGGATTTGAAGTAGACTCTGTACTCAAAAGGGATGTTCAAATCAAATGGACCAGTAGGGCTAGTGACGAATCTAATATGAATTGGAAAAAGATAGAATGGTTTATTTGGAGTATTCATACTTGCCATTCTTTTTGTTCTCTTTTGACCAAAGTAACAAACAGCCATTGGGTAGTCAAACCAACATCTCTACACCGAGTAAAGGCCTACGCTCCTCACATTGACCATCTCGTTTTGGATATAAATTGTCAAAACTCTGTTTTAACTGTGTTGTAACTGTGAAACACTGGCTTCTACCTAAAGATAAAGCTTCTTCATTGAGAAATAGTTTAGGATAATTTCAAGGTGAATGTTCTTTGATTTGAATATGTGTTACATTTAAAACTAGTCATACCTAACAAACTGGTAAATTTACTTTTAAGGGGAAAACATTTTAAGAAAGTGATAGGGAGCATAGGCTTTTCAGCATCTGCTGTACTTAACATTTAAATTTAGTTTCTTTACTGCCATATTGAACGAATGACCCAACCACTACATGTCACTAGGGGTGCTTTAAATGCTGCTCTCAGTGGATAGCCACATATGAATACCTTAGGATGTCCATTTGGATTTTGGGTGGTTTTTGTGTAGGCTATGTCATTTTTCAACCTTATTCATGGTTTTTTTTCAAAATAACTTGTATTAAATAAATATTATCAGTATGATAAAGCAAAATGTTTACAATTGTTACTAAAATACTAATAACAATCGTGTATGTCAGGCTACTAGTACAATAATAAATAATCCATGTCATTTACTCAGATATCAATGGTATGAATATAGTTGCTTAATTAGCCATGACAGAACACAAATTGTTATCTCACAATGCATCTTATGACAGAGTGTAGAGTTGCCTACTCACCTGATAAATGGTTTAGGCTTTAGTTTTTTTTTCATATTTAATGTATTATTTCCTATTGAATGCAACCCTTTAACTAAAGTTAGGCTACAGAATAGTATATTTCCTACCTAGGGCCGAAAGAGACAAAGTCGAGAACTTAAAACGATTGAGAGCTGCAAAACCATTTTGGTCCGTGGTACGAATGCTATTTTTCACCACACTATACCCTATTACCAAGTACTATTCATCACGATAATAATGTACACTGATAGTCAACACAACTACAACCTTAAGGTTATGTGAAGAAATAATTTGAGGAATCAGCAAAAATACTAAATAGTTAATTGGAAGCAGTGACAATAAAACAATTCTATTGCAATGCTATGGATACTGACTGTGTATCTAAAATGCATTCATGTTTCAAGAAAGGGCAGCTGATTTTGCGGCCCTAGGGATGTAAAAACCTGCTCGGTCCCCAAATGACGATGACAGCTGGTATGGCCAGCAAAACGTAACTTTCAGCCACCAATTAACATAAAGAGCAAAAAACATCATAGTGTTGTGAAAATTATTTTGATTACCACACAATGATGTAATATTCTTGAATTTAGAAAACCTAATAAACATTGGTTTTGTAGCAACTGGTCCAAGAGGATGTACTGTACATTGCTTGAATGCCTAAGGGACATTTACTTGGGTTTGGTATATTTTTTAAATGCCAAGAATTGTTAAGCCTAAATAAAGAAACTTATGGTAAAAAGTATTCAGTCATTTGTGTTGTTTATAACTGGTAGGCCTACATGTATTCTTTTAACAAACACTCTTCAAGTAATCCTTTTGTAACTGGTTTATAAGAGACCCATCACAAGTGTAATTAGCATTTTTAGTGTTAAAAACCAAACTTAAGTGCTACGTTGGAAGACATTTTGGATTGGTATCCTGTCACACGATTTATTTAAAAACACTATTAAAACTTATTCAGAAGTACTGTGGTTAAGATATTTTTTTAATAACAAGTTATAAACAATTTCACATCCATTGTTATTTTCTATTGAAAAGTGTTAATGTGCTTTAGCCTTCCAGTCATAGGTGATTAATAATATATTCGTCTTTCAGGTATAAAAATACAACATGGGAAAAGACTATTACAAGATTTTAGAAATTAAAAAAGGAGCGACAGATGACGAAATCAAAAAGGCATACAGGAAATTGGCTCTTAAGTACCATCCGGACAAAAATAAAACACCTGGCGCTGAAGAAAAGTTCAAGGAGGTGGCAGAAGCCTATGAAGTGTTGAGTGATAAGAAGAAGCGCGATGTCTATGACCAGTTTGGTGAAGAAGGTTTGAAAGGAAACGTCGGTGGACACACTGGTGGAGGGTCGTCGCCCGGTGGTGGAAACTTTACTTACACCTACCACGGAGACCCGAGGGCAACGTTCGCTCAATTCTTTGGCACAGCAAGTCCTTTCGGCACCTTCTTCGACCTCGGTGGTCCTAACAACAGGATGTTCGCCTCCTCCTTTGGCGGTGACGATGATATGGACACAGACATGGATCCGTTTGGCCTCTCGGGCATGGGCATGGGCACAAGAGGCGGAGCTGGCGGTGCTTTCCGTTCACATTCCTTCAACATCCACGGAAACAACGCTAACCGAGGAAAAGACAAAATACAAGACTCGCCTATCGAACACGACCTGTACGTTACATTGGAGGATATTGTCAGAGGTTGTACAAAAAAGATGAAGATCTCAAGAAGAGTGTTACAACCAGACGGCACTGCCAAAAAAGAAGACAAAGTTTTAACGATAAACGTCAAACCTGGCTGGAAAGCTGGAACAAAAATTACCTTCCAAAAAGAGGGTGATCAGGGAAGAAACAAAATTCCTGCAGACATTGTGTTCATCATCAGAGACAAACCTCATCCACTCTTTAAAAGAGAGGGCAGCGACATTCGTTACACCGCCAAAATATCTCTGAAACAGGTAAGATTTTTATCAAGTATTAACTGTATACCCTAGAGGACTAAATACTGAAGTTGACATCCCATTTATATCGGCTAAAGACATCTTTTTTACTTAAAACAACCAGATTAAGTTAAATCAGTGTCTTATAGAGTTGATTTTAATTAAAGTTCTATGTTCTCTTTTAGTTTTCAATTCTTTAATTGTTAATGGGTACTTACAATAAAATATGCTACAGTTTTCCAAGAGTTGCTCTCCCAGTTTGTCATGGTTTATAGTTGTATGTCTTTGAAAAATAACAATAGTTTACACCAGCACTTTCTGTCAGTGACTGAAGTTTCACTTTATTCTAAAGCTTGTTATAACTTAAAGATGGGATATCACCTTCAGTCTTCAGTGTATAACCCTCTCCTTAGCTTCTATTATACTGTTCTTGCTGGTTGCTCGACTAAGTTATTTTTAAATTCTTAACTTGCACCTTAATTGTGTCCTCAGAGTTTATTCAGATACCAAAACTGTTTATATGTTAATACAGAAAACCCTTTGTTGTAGTTTTGTTCTACTATTTATTATCACAATCACTATTATTGATAAGTGATGGTGACAGCCATTTTCTCCACTCCATTTCACCTGTTTTAAACTTTTTTAAATTCCTGCTAACAAAAGTTGCACTTCATTTTCTTAAACTTCATCAGGTTTTTTACACATCATTAAAATTTATGTCTGTTCCATTTTCAATTTTTTACTTGGTTGGACTATATTATTGAAGGCCTGATCTGATGGTTTCAGTTGTTCTTTCGAGCTGTAATAATAATTTTTACTGAAAATCAATGACATCATGATCTATTCTGTACACAAAAATAATTTTGCTATACTATATTGTTCATAATACAAAACTGTTTCGACCTTGGAAAAATTATTCATCACAACATTAATTTTGTTAGGACCTTTCAGATGCATTTAGTATTGTTAGCTAGCTTATCAAGAAGAATAATAAATATAAAATAAATTGTGACAATACACAGACAATTTTTGAAATCAGTGTGATGTTTTGCTCTAAGGAACTAATTGTGTGATTCTTAAGTGATTTATTATATTCATAGTGTTGTGTTTTGTCACAGGCCCTTTGTGGAACGATAGTCGAAGTGCCGACGCTCACCGCAGAGAAGATCCCAATCAACCTAACCAACGAGATTGTGAAGCCAACGACGGTGAAGAGGCTGCAGGGCCATGGACTACCGTTTCCCAAGGAGCCAAGTCGTAAGGGAGATCTCCTAGTTGCGTTTGACATCAAGTTCCCTGAAAACCTGTCGGCCAGCGTCAAGGACATTCTGTATGACACATTACCTAATTGAAGATCAAGTGGCGCAAACGAAAATATCATAACTCTCTCCCGAAGAAATCCGGTTTTGGAAGGTATTTTGGATCTGCACTTCCGTAACTGCAAACAGAAACTGCGGAGTGGATTTGCTAAGTTGTGTTCGGTGTGCGCGATCTTCTCGGATGCAGTTAGTGCCACAGTTTAAAGGCCTCTTCAGGCTTGAAGGTCCTGGCCAAAATTTGTACTTAGATTTTAATTTGATAAATAGATTCCTGAAACTGTTTTTATGAATTTTCCCTGTAAATTGTATGATATTTAAGTTCCTAACCCTATCATTCTTCTTCTGACAGGATGCAAGTTATTTATGTAACGCTAGAGCGAAATGAATTTTAGAAAAAAAATTATGTTCTGTGAACAAACCTACTACTTGTATTTTTAACTCGATTTGTTTCCATTTTTTGTGTAATAGGTTCTTTGTTGATAATAATATCAGGACCAGCTAGGATGCTTCGCCTCTTGGTTTTGGTTTGTAACATGATAACTGCTATTTTATTTTAATTTTGTACATATTGTGTTAATAATTTTGTTAATATTAGTATTAAGGTGATATGATTATTTTATTATAATCTATTGTTTTCATTAAGAATAGCTATTTGTAAAATAAACAACTCTTTTTCCTAGGAGTGGCTTATCAATTATACCTTAATTGGTCACAACTTATTGGCTAACTGCTTAGTTGTCTAGTTAGGTGAAGAAACTTTTAAATCCAACTTTAAGTTTTTTTTTTATTTTCCATGGGTTTTCAGTAGTGGTGTTGCCAACATATTTGAGTCAAAGTTATTAGATTGAGACAATGTTAAGTAATTTAAGGAATTTTTACACACACAACTCTGATGAGTTGACAGGGGATCAGTAGCGTAATGGTTACGTCAGTAGCGATTGGCAGAAGCTGAAGCCAATACCTGTCTGTGCCAGCAACTACCAAGTATTTGGTCAGTGATGATGATACTTAATCAATTAAGCAATATGGTTGGCAAACAACCTTCTGATGTACCACAAATAGGCAAAACTCATTACTGATGTTAACAAAAAGGTTTAGTTTCTTTTTAAAAACGTGTTTACGTTTACATAACTAATTTGACAAATTTACCATTCTTTAACACATTTAATTAATTTGCTCTTTTTATCCTTGGAAATGAACAAAATATAAGACATGGCGTGATCAATGGTTATTTTGTTATTTGATTATTATACTGAAATCAAATTTAAAGCTATAATAATCTACAAAACTGTTAGTAAAAAACAATACTCCAGGTTTAAAACAACAGTCAATGCTTCAAAAAATAGTGATTTTATATTGCTTAAGTAAAACATGTTTGTTATTAAAACTTTAACATGCAATGATAAACCTTTTATTTTAAAATGTTTCTTTTATTTCAAAGGACGTATTCTAGCTTTGAGTTGCAAAGCACTGTAGCTTCTATTGGGATATTTCTGACACTTGAGACTATTTTTGAATTTTTGGCACAAGATCTCTGCGTAGCCCCTGGCATCTTAAAAGTGGTTTTGTGTTGAATTCGATAGAAAAGTAAGTCTTAAGTACCAGTAATGTTTTATAAAGTACACAATTTATGATCTAAATCCACTTTTAAGTTGCTATAATTTTTAAAAACACTTTTCAAGGCTACAACGTAAGAAAATTTAAAAAGCAAAGATATATGAACTACCATTAAAAGTTTCATAAATTTATCCACAGTAATTAATGATTTAAATATTAATAGTACAGATTTTAAAATTAGTTTTTTTTTAACAAAACATATTAAAATGCTGTTGTTCAAGTTAGTCAACCGCAGTTACAGATTGATTCATATTCTTCCAATAACCAGTGCATGTCCAATAACAACTGCAGAAAGAACACAACAATTTTAACATTTTCGTTGGAGTTTTTGGTAGAAATAGCCATTTTGGGTCTCTCCTGAACTCCAAAAAGTAGTTTTTAAAGAGGTGGATGTGGATCCTGTTATAGGCCTATCAAACTAAATGTATTTATCTATATGTCGTATCTTAAAGTTATTTGTGCAACTAGTGAGCAAAGGGAGCAATTGACTCACTAGAGAAATGGAGAAGGAATGGTTTCTCGAGTGAGGCAATTGCACTTTGCACTCGAGTTGCACATTATATTTTTCCTACAGTTACCATAAAACAAATAAATTGGTAAAGAAACGTGACATATTTTTACACAACACAGAAGTGAACTTTTAATATGACATTTATTTAATGATTGAAACAACAGTACAACAACTGACCAGCTGATTTACAGCCAGTGCTGCCAACGTATTTCGCGCGCATACGACCTTGTCTGTCTCCATGTTACGCGCTCACTATTTCGTGCCTTCACGTTGCAAATCTGGAGTGAGTGAGACAAAGTAATTAGAGTGAGCTGAGCACTGATGAGTGATGAGCGAATTGGCCACTTTGCTTTCTCAAATCAGTGAGAGAACATGTACATTGTTAGGTAACTGTAGGAAAAATTTATGGGTTGTGTGTTGAACAGTAAACCATCAACGAAGCTGTATCAGCGGATTTTAATGTTTATTCCTGGACTATGTGTGTTTTGTGTTTGAATTCGGTAGCTAGCCGAAACATGTCAGTCATGTAGCACGTTGTGTATGTATGTTACAATTTGGGACTGATGACAGGGACATGTAAAATATAAAAACAATTAGTCGTTAGTCAGATTGCTGCTTTAGAGCCTACCTTGAGCTGTACAGATCCACCCTGGATTGAAAAATTAAAAGGTTTTTTTATTACTGAGAACCGAATACAGCCTTTTGGGCCTTTGGAAAATCATCGATGATGGTTTTGGAAACCAAGTAAATAATGCATATTCATTCATAAACGGATCGTTAACTCATTGTCAATTTACAATACAATCGGCTATGGTTATAGTTCCCAACTATGTTTCAACTACCTTGGGAAATAGCTAGAGAGCGTGTTAAGTAAGCACATCTACTGTAGTAAGCAGAACCAGGCACGGTATTCGATCCACCGACATCAGTAAATGCAGCTGTGGAGGTTCTCATCTTAACCAGACATTTTATTAACCCCAGACATTTTTTAATTAAGTGTTTGATGTTATTTTGTTCTACAACTCTAGATCTTGAGTCTAGTCCATTGTTAAAAATTATCTATGAGATTTACGTTTATAATTGAAGAAGGCACTAGCGTAAAATAAATTTTAATATTTGAATCGTCTAGATTTTATTAGTTCAGATTGTCGCTGATAAAAAATAAAAGTATGGCATTAGTTTTATTAATCGGTAAAAATGTATACTGTTATTTTATTAAACTTGTTATGAACATAAATAACTTTGGTCGTTACTGATTTAAAATGCCGTATTTGGCAAGTGATCCACTCATTTGGTTCCGATGTACGGGTACAACACATCTTATAATTTCTAATCAGACGAATGTCAATTTTTCATCATTTTGACTTCCGAATGTAGGATAAATTTAAGTTCGTCTGATGAGGATCTCTGAAAATCGAAACCAAAACTTTTCAAGGATTTTAGATCACTGGAGATGAGGTAGTTTACCAGAGGCTTGTAACCAAAACCTTCGATCACATTTCACCAAAACTGTTCTTCTCTTTCCAATAATTTCTCTACATGATGATGACGTACATGCTTGATTACCAAGTAGGCTGTTACACCGCTAACACCTTGTTAGGCTTTCCAGAGTGCCATAAAAGCACAATAACTCGCCAAGGTAGACAGGTGACACCAATATCAGAGAACAGCTGGCTTCATCTGTAATGACGTCATTGACTACATCGGGACACCGCCCGAGTACATGAAATAGGTAAGTGTTTTGCATACATAGATTGAATTTTCAAGTTAAGCCTCGATAGGAAAGTGAATTTGATAATCAAAAGAGTGGGAATGTATCGCTCTTTTAAAGGTCACAGATACTGTACCCCTCCTTGTAGAGTTATACCATGGATAACACATCCCTTGATGGATCAGCTGAAGGCAATGTAATTATTAGTTCCGTCTGGCGTGGGTGCACTAAAAGAGGTCGTGTTTTGTTTAGGCTACAACTTGTTTCTTGTTATTTAAGTAATTTAAAACCTCGTTTAACCGAATAAAACGATCTACACTAATCATAAACAAAAATTCGTTCCCTAGTTTTATAACCAAACAGTAAAGCACACATACTGAAATTAACCCTAAAATAATAGAAACAATATTTCGTCGACACTAGGAAGTGTCACCAACATGAACCAAACAAAATCCAAGCTTCAAAATTTTCAATGGGAAGAGAAAAATCTACTGGTGTTGATTAGTCTATGAGTGATGAAGGGTAACTAATAAGGTAATTTAATTATTTTAGATTTTAGGGCTTCGCCCCCATAGCGTTTGATTCTTTTAGCGTTTGCTTCGAAATTCAGTGATGCCGACCTACTTTCTTTATCATAAATGTTTGGATGCGAATTATTTTAATATGAATAGATGATCTTTCAGTTGAATGTGTAACTACAGTTTGATTGTAAACAAGAGTCAAAACTTATAATATAATGTACAGTGTAAGTATCCTTGGTACCTTGACGATAGCAGCCGTTGACCAGTAGACTGGAATGGGCCTTATCATAAACTCAAAAGTAACATTGAGACAAAGCAGTTTATGAAAATATATTTTAAATAGGATACTTTTTATAAATGTAACCTAATTGAGGTAGGTGAATTACTCTTCACTCTTTACATTGTAGTATATAAATGCAACAAATGTAATTCATTGTAAATTAGTAGTTTTGTTTACCTAATCTGTAACATAACCTTTGAAAAGTAAAAGGACATTGCATTATTCGATTTATCTCTAAATCCAGCCCTATTAAAAAATAATTCGTAATTTTCGTGTCTCCGCGTACTGTACATTTCCTTAGTTAGGAAAGTGACCCATTTTGGGCAAAATAGTGGTTTATGAGCGAGGCCAAGCCGAGCGCGGATAACTATCGGACCCCGAAATGGAACTTTCGTGACGAGTAGTGAATGAGTTTTAATTTACAAACATAATTACATAATCTAGCAATTCTCTTTAGAACTTTCACAGCATTGATTTTAAGTTTGTGTGAATTCAGTTGTTCGAACAACCTTTCTCATTTCTCGCAATCACCAATACGTAACGTGAGAATCTAGTTAGAAGATAATCTGTTGTTAACAATTAATTACTCTCAAATGTGAAAGTGCTGAGCTCGCTGCATTACGTCAACTGTTAGATGTGATAAGACAAAAGATGAGCTATTCTTACGTAGTAGGCTTCAGGATCGACGATCTTCACGAGTGTCTTGTCGTAGTGGAACTCTGGTCCATCACTCTCTCTCTCTTAACTTCCAGTGTCGTTCAGTTTTCTCTGTATTTGTATCTCCCACCTTCACATCCTAGGACGCTGAGTGTGATATGCAGTAGATTCTCCACTCAACGTAAATAGGCTACAAAAGAGCATGCAAAAATCATATTAGTGCCTCAGATATCCATCAATTATTGACTTTGGGTGGAAAGTCTTTTGAAGACCAGAAAACTAATATTGCGAGCAACCTCGCGGCTTGAAGAATAAGATTCTTCAGCTCAAAACTGTTCAGGATGTTGAGTAGTCCTTCGACTGGAAGAGCTCCTAGATGCAC